GAATAGTAACTGTTGGGATCTATTTCTGGACCAATACTATACATAACTTTGTATTGTATAATTGTTAAGTAACTAAACTGTGCATATTCATGTTCCTATTATTATAAGCTTTCGTTTAACCTGTGATTCATGTCCAGTCTATCTATTACTATCTCTCACATTCATATCCACTTTTTCCTGAATCTTGTACAAATGTGTATTTTCTATTTTTATGGTACGATGTGATCTGTTTGGTTGATATATATACACCCAGTATGTTTGAAATAAATGATTTCAATATCACAGTGGTTGATATTGATGTTTTCGACTCAACAGTCAGGGCTAGGCATGAAGCAAGACCAATAACTACTCTAGCCTGCTCGTACAAGTTTTATGCGTCATTGGTCCGGTCGATAAATTACTGTTCTCTAATTGACGATATCATTACATTATACATTAATAAGACACTGGGCATAAGTTATAATATAGATAGTCATTATAACTACCAGACTATTACATTATTATTATTATTACTAACGAATTCAATCAGACTTTATATAATTATAACTTCCAATTATATTTTACACTTTTACATTTTCTCTCTTATTTATTCACCCTTTCATTACATTAGTCGTACATTTTTTGTTTTATTATTGAAATCATATACTATTTACAGTGTTTTAATCTTTATTTTTATCGTTGACGCCTTCTTTTTTTTTTCTTTTTGCTACAGAAAGAGAGATAATAATAATAAATTCACATATCAACAATATTACTAGAGAACATTATTGTTACTATGAGTATTATTATTATTATTATGATTAGTTTATAATTCTACATATTTATTTTCCTCCATTTTATATGAAGGATTCATAATCTTTTGTTTAGATGAATTCATTGAATATGTTGAACAACCAAAAAGAAAAAAAAGCGAAAGAAAGAAAGAAATACTATAATGCATTAACACAATGTCATCCATGTATAATCATTATTTATCATGTCAGATTTAAGTTCTTTTTTTATTATCTTAGTTTATTTATTTATTTCTTTTTTTATATTTATTTATTATCTAATCATCTGCTTCCATTAGAGGAGAGACGAAAAAAATCAAATGTAGGATGCATATATACTACTGAATTGTAATGTATAATGATTTTGTTAATAGTAATATTTAATAATATTAATGGTAGATAGGATAATGTATGATTATTATTATTATTATTATTATTATATATAAACATTAGTTGAATGCAGATGAAGGTAATTCAATTATCTCTCTCTATATATATAGCACATTTGTTGTGGATTAGTTAAATCTTTTCTACCTTTGTTGTTCCAATAGCCAATATCAAAGAGTAATTGATTTTGAGTATTATTTTAATGAATAATATAGAATGAAGATATGGTGTGTTAGTTGATTTTCTTATTTGTTGATTGTTATCAATGGAAAATTACAGTTATGATATGTTGGTTACTTAATTACTTGTTAACACCTGTTCATCCTCGTGGAGAAGCTTAGGTCGACCACCATCATTCTCTATCCAACCCTGTCCTTGGCATATGCTATGTTGATTGCGAATAAAAGAGATATATATATCTCAATGAGTGGAAAAAATTCATTTATTACGTTTCGTAACTTAATGTAGGGCACTTTTTCAGTGTAAGATGTGGTTTATGTTAAGTTATGAAATACAATTTTTCTACTCATCAAGGTATAATAAAATTATATTTATTAATGAGTTTCTATTCAATACTCAATTTGTTTTATAATTTTTGTCAGGTTGTGGAGATTTTAGCAATTTTAATAGTTGAATTCATATGTCAATTAAAGTTAGAACACCATGTAAATACCTGGAAGCATTGGATGGCTGTTTTGTTGTAGTATGGGACTTTTCAGTAATGCGCATCCATGATTTCGCGCATGGAATCCAAACTCAGAAACTTAGGTCTCCCACGCGAACGCTTAACCTCTAGACCACTAAGCCGACCGGTATCTATCGGTATTGAAGTCTAACTTCAACCAATCCACGAAATCTCACAAACGTTCATCATTGTGTGCAGTGAGTAACTGCCCTACAACAGATACTGTTGAATTCCAATGATCACAGCTTCTCACTAGAACTCCAGGAAATATCTCTTGAAGCAAGTCATTAGTGAGCACATGATGATTATTATCAGATTGAGGGTTGAATTAAGACATAAACACCGTTGGATGCTGGCCGGCTCAGTGGTCTAGAGGTTAAGCGTTCACGCGTGAGACCGACAGGTACTGGGTTCGAATCGTGCGTTCAGGATCGTGGATGCGGACTGCTGATGAGTCCCACAATGGTATGCAATGGCTGCTTAGTGCTCCCAGTGTTTATTATGGTGGTCTAACTTCAATTGACTCATGAAGTCAACTATTAAATTGTCAGCAATTATTGTTACAAATATCAGTTGTAAGACTAAGAGCATTATGTTCATCTGAATACATAAGTTTTCCCTAAGAATTTTAACATCATTAAAGTGGATATCATGTTATTAAGAACAGTATCTAACCATTAATACTGATAACATATGATGTATAATACAGTTCACTAATCACTGAATTCCAACTAATTGTTCATTGCTCAATCATTTGAATATTTAACTTCATTTCTTATGGTGTATAATCTTAGTTGAAGTTTTTTAGTCAGTCAGCTGTTACATTGGACTAGGCACATATATATACATATGCATTGATCCAAGTTGACACACAAGATGATCAACAAATTCATAGAAGTAACTACTCCAATGATAGTAATATATAAAAGAAATATTATGTATAAGAATATAATCCAGAAGGAAAGATATAAAGCATTTTTAATCTCATAATTTAAGGGAAGAAAAACATTGTGTATACATCGACGCCATTGTGATCGATTTTAAGCCATATCATCTAGGATAAATGTATCTATTCAATACTCTTAATAATAGTAAGCATAGATATATACATATATGTTTATGTAACCTAGATTAAAGAAATGTCCTTGTAATTATGGATTCTTTTTTTGTTCTCGTTGTTGTAAATTATTCTTCCTTCTCTTTTTCTCTCCTAAATTATTCTTTTTCTATTTTTAGAAAAATTATTATTGTTATATTACTTATTATTTACTAATAATTATGTTATTTCGATTTGGTCAACTCGTGTACGTGTTTCTATGTTTCCGCCATGTTTTTTTTCTAAAAATAGAAAAACAAAAAACCCAAAAAAACAAGATAGAGTTAGGTAATTAGTTTTTGTTCAGTAACTAGGTTAATACAATCTAAAATACAAATGATTATGTATTATTAGTTATATTGAAAAATATGTACATAATATTGAATAAGTAAACTATTATAAACATTGGTCATTAGCCAGTATTTAGTCAGTTCATATCAAAAGTGGGTTTTTGTAGATATTATAGTCATTTTAATAGTTGAGATCATGAGTCAGTTGAAGGTGGATCATTATGGAAAACTTGGAAACACTGGATGACTTTTTTTCTCTTATTGTGAGACTCCTCTGTGGCACTGGGCATCCACAATCCCGACTCGCGAGATTCGAACCCAGGACATATCATTCTACTGACTTGTAAAGCGACCCAGAGAAATTTTGTTTTCCTTGGACAATTAGAAAGTTGATCTAAGTGTCAGTAATCATTCTTCAAAGTTGAATTTAAAAATACTGAATTGAAGGATTTAATTCATAGGGATGATAACTATACCGCTTGTCTGTTAGGTTTGACACTCCTTTCGACACTACTCTCTCTTTTTTTTAAACGAATGTTTCATGAATATTTAGTATCCTACGTCTTTGAGCTATAGTTAATGCTTCTCTTATCAAGATTTCTGGACATAATATATACAGTAATTATACTACGGCATAGCTATGAGTTGGCCTATATAAGTAATACTGTTTTCATTGATTACTGATATTTATATGATCCAGTTGTTTGTTAAAGCCATTAGTTTTCTAAAAATCAATTAACGCTAGGCCACCATGGAAAATCTGAAATCTCGCGAGATCGATCGTGGATATGCACTACTGAGGAGTACTGTACTAGGACGAAACGGTCGTCAAGTGCCTCCAGGTTTCCTATGGTGGTCTAGCTCTAACTGACTCATGAATTCAACTATTAAATCAGACCAGTCAGTCAGTCAGCTACAGCGTAGGACCAGGCACATATATGCATCGGTCTTAGTCAACATACCTCATTGACACAACGAGATGAACACCGGATTCATAAAAGTAGTTAATTCAGTAGTTGTAATATATAAAAGAAAGATTGCATTTAAGGACATAGTACAGGAAGAGAGAATGAGTTGTTAGAAAGAGAGATATGAAGGGATTTTAGTCTCATCGTTGAAGGAAAGAAAGAGAGTGCATACACCTACACCATTGTGATCGACTGTGAGCCATGTCACCAAGAGTCTCCAACCATTGGTTACGATAGTCACGCGGACCACAAATGTGTAGTCTATATCTACCAACGTGGCATATACTAGAACTTAGTGACTTCAGTGACTAACGCCATGTTTTGGTTTGGCTATCCCTAACTTTCTTCCAACCATCCCCAACACTAGTCAGCATTGTGTTCAGGCATAAGGAACATGTGATCCAACCATTTCAGTCTATGAAGGTTCACAACGTCATCAACCGATTTACCGAAATTCCCTAATGAAGTGCGTCTAACGTCACTATTATCTACCCGATGATCCCATGAAATCTGAGCAATATTTTTAAGACATCTATTATCAAATACTAGTACGTTACGAATATCTTAAACTCTTGATGGTCAGGTTTCGCAGCCGTAATGTAAAACAGAACGAACTGCCACGCAGTATACTGTAAATCATATCAGTTTAAGAATGAAGGATTTTACTTTTTTTAATAATATTGGAAAATGCCTCTATTCATAATGCATTCTGTCTCTTAGCATATATAATTAAACATTCATTAATATTATATATATATAGGCATTTCTTTGAATACATAATCTTCCATAAATTTTTTATCATAGGTACTTCAATCACTTGTCATTTGTTTCCCTGTTGTGGATAAACAATTTACACAATTCTATTGGGATATATTAGATAATCGTTATAAATTAAAAAAATCAAAATCAAATCATTTTCCTGGTGTAAAAATGAACATTACAAAATCGGGTAAGTATTAAAACTTTTCATTTCATTTATTCAATAAATTTGATCCTATTTAATAATAATCAATTTCAGTATTTATTGTGAATATAATTGTAATCTGTGATCTGAGTTCACTTAGATCGTATGATTGATTGTTATTGAAATATACATATTTTGGCTTATCCCCTTACATGATTATCGACTTAGATCATGTTTGAAAATAATGAAATTAAATAAGTCGAATACGAGAATGAAGTTTTTGTATATGTATATTTCATGCACTCATTGATCTGGACAAGCAATCAGAGGAACAAAGCGAAGGAAGTGAAAAGAGAGTGCAGTGAAACGATGCTCAGTGGAGAAAGCATGTGAGCCAACTCCATTTAATCAAGCGTTAATTGGTATTTATAGCCAGATAAAAATAGATTACAGATATGTTATGAATAAGAAGTGTACACACATATATACGGTCATATAATAACAGTCAAGATTGATAAATGAATAATTAACAAGGTCAAAACGTGACTACTCAAGAGAAATGGATAAATTGTTTTCACTTGGTTTTGTTTGCTTGTATCTTCCCAGGTGGCTATCAAGACTCAGTAGCTAAGTGGATAACACGATGGCACTTGAAGCGAACGGTACTTGGTTCGACTCTCAGAGTGAACATCAATTCTGAGATGCAGTTGACGAGTCCCGAATAGGACGAAACGCGCGTCCCGAATTCCATTGCCAGCCACTATCCATCTGTAGATAAATTGGTTTGTCCAGAAACTAGAATAAGCTACGTGGGCTCAACATAGTGCTATAACTGTGACGGCAGATTGGAGGACAGTGAATTATCGATCGGACCAAAGACGCGCAAACACCTAAGAACGGCCTAGGGTCCTGATTGGTCTCGCTTCCCTGTCTAGCCCAGTCAGTTGAGTCCAGAACACAAGTCTCAGCCTCGGAGATATGAATCGTTATATTTCAAACACTCTGCTTATATACCAATCAAGCAGACCACATCGTACCATAAAATAGAAAATAACATTGTACAATATTGACCAGTAGGAAAATGACACCATCTCAAGTCCAAGGATAGCGTTAGACTTAACAGAATGATTTTTGGGATATTTTTATGAATATCCCAACACATAGTAACTGACACTACAACATGTTCTTGGTTAAATACTCTCATAAACTTTCTAGCCTGAATCTTGATAACATGTTAGTATTTCCGTATGCGATGATAGGAATCTATAATCTTAAACTTCGCTGTTTGTTTTACAAATTGTTCAGTTAATATCTTTTTTAATGTAGGAATCGGTTGTTCGATTATATCTGACACTGTTTGATGAAACGTATTGATGAGGTCTCCTAAGGAGAAATGATAATTGGTTCCTCGTGGTTGTTTGCATACCTACAAAAGTCTCCCACTTTTGGTTAAGTAGATATGTGCTTCTACTCTAGAATTTCAAGACAATAGAGATTTACAGTTTAGGTTGATGCTTATAGTAGATGTGCATTTACCTACTTAAATACATTAAGTGAAGAGTTTTTATTATTATTCTAAACAAAGTCACCAACATCTACCTCAGAAACACAACAAGATCAAAATGAGGTGTTGAATATACATTGGGTTGACTTAAGTTGACAAAATAATATCAAAATTAATCTAGATGGTAATGAGAAAGTTAAATTAAGAAAATACATTTTAAACTATTAGTCAATGTGATAAAATGTTTTGCACCACACACTGACGTTTAATCATTTTGCAGTATGGTATAAATGATTTAAATGGACTATTTGGTGAGACAGTAATTTATAGAGGGCCTTTGAGTGACGCTAAACTGACCTTGAGAGTGTCCACCTAATAACCAGGACCAAATGAGGGTTATAAACCTGTGTGAGGAATTACAATTATGATTTACAGTTGATGATCAAGGTTACGAATTGGATTTAGGGAGTTTCCATCACGAATTGACATCAGCTATAATGCCAAAACTCTATTTGTCCAAATGGATAAATGAATTCCGTGACAAAATTCAAGACCTGTTATCTTATACGTGATCGGTTCGTCCATAAATAAGTCTCGTTGACAATTTGCTCTGCTATTCGATCAATTAGTATTTTGTTATTCTAAGTTTACTTGAGTATTATCGAATATAACGAGTTATATATTTGCTTAATGATAATAATTCTCAGTTAAAATCTAAATGTAATCAGGTTGTCGGTTGAAAGTCCTGCTAGGCTTAACTTTCGTGTCATTTGGTATTCGACATCAAGCTCCACTTTAATCTTAAAGAAATTAATGCTCAATATTTCTATGAATCAATCAGATGTAAATTATAGAGAGTATTAATTGTATATGCTGTCAACTGGTGTATTATCAGTACAGTAGTTTATTCATATCACTGTGTTATTTCCCTCGATTAGACAAATTGAGAATTACATAACGTTTCTTGATAGGGCTAACAATTGTCTCGTAATTTGTTTTGGAAGAGTTCATACAATTGCCTTCAGTTCGATAGATTATTAAATATCAATGTTTTACTGAGGGATCATATATTTGTATGAGAAAGGGTTTTGTCGATATTATAGTGATGTTAATAGTTGAGATCACGAATTATATGAAACTAGACCACCATGGAAAACCTGGAAGTACTGGACGGCCGTTTCATCCTACTGTAGAACTCCTCCGTGACAGTGCGCATCCACAATCCCGACTCGCGAGATTCGGACCCAGGACCTATCAGTGTACAGCGGGAATGCTTTACCACTAGATCACTGTGGTGGCCGGCATCCAACGGTGTTAATGTCTAATTTGAAATAATCCACGAAATTGGGTGGGACATCCACCATTGTCATCAGTGAGTTACTATCTCTCAATAGACCTGGTTGAACTCCACTGGTCATTGCTTCTCACTAGGACTCCAGAAAATACCTCTTGTGAAGGCACTCACTAGTGAGCATATGTTATTTTATATCAGAAGGGGTTTCTGTGCATACTATAGGAATATCAATGGTTGAGATTATATATTTCTTAATCATAGATACTAATATAGGGAATTTTTTTATTTTTAAAATTATTTATGTCATTAACCAGTTATATTATGTGTTAACTTTTGTAATTATCTTTTTCTTTAATCAAGGTAATACTACACGTTCAGAATCTTGTTCATTTATGATTTATCCTAAATCAGCTTATTCAACTCGTTTAATAAATGCTGCTGGACGTCTTTTCTGTTTAAAGAATTCTAGTCCCACTAATATTACCGTTAATAATAATAATGTCAATGATGTACAAACATCACCGCCAACATCAATTACATCATCAGTTAAACATTTTTGTTTCCCACTAAAAGATTCAACACGTCAATTACAAAAATCAAAACAATATTTATCAATACATCGTGAAGCATCCATAGAGTCATCATTCTATCAAAATACCAATGAAACTAATAATCAAAATAAACAGACAGAAACAATCATTGATCAACCTGTTGATGTATCACTTGTATCGTTCACGGATGTAAGTTGATTATTTTTTATATTAAGGTAACAAATGTACAAAATTCCATTATACAGAACATTTTTTTATTGGCACTAGCTATCAGCATAGAAGTCAGCTGATAAAGATTTAGTGACTCTTAAACTAAGATAATACTGTCAATCTATGAACGGATTGTGGTGGCTGGTACTATGTCAAGATCACATAGGTTATTCTAGCTTCTAGACAGATTATTCTATTCATTCTTCTCAAGCCACATTTTGATCTTGTTACTTCATTTGTTAACCGTGACTGTTTTTATGTGATCCTATGTGTGTTAATAACTCACCCCATTCATTATGGTTCTGTAATTTATTTTTGTCCTAATATAATTATTGAGTTACGCTTGATTCAGTCGAGTTGGCAGACAGGATGTACGTACGTACATCAGTTCGAATTGCCACACCAAATTAGCACAGAGATGCAGTTGTCAATTCAAATCCCATAGTGGTCGAGGTAGTAAGTTTATAAGCAGTAATCGGAAACATTAGGGTTTGAAGATATTATTCAAGGAGTATAATTGAGTGAAATAAATTAGAACAGAGAAGAAAATAAAGGGACATGAAGAATTCAGAAGATTATAATTTGGGAGAACACAGAGAGTAGATGCACCTGCGCCATTGCAAACCATTTTGAGCCATGTGTCATTCAAGGTCTCTTACCATCGGTTACTATCATCTCGCGGTCCTCAACCAGGTAGTCTACACCTACGAGCATAGCTCAGTCCACTTGTCAGTGACTTCATGGATTTGTATCATGTTCTGATCTGGCTGTCCCTGGCCTTCTTCCAACCTACTCCTACACCATGAAACATCGTATATTGGGGCATTCGGTGGTTGGGCATACGTAACACGTGTCCCAGCTATATAAACTGATGAAGTTTCACTACTTTATCAATTGACTTGCCATCCTTACCTAGTGCTCGTTTCCTAACAGCTACATTACTTACTCGGTAGTCCCAGGATATACGAGAAGATAACTATAATCGAATACTAGTAGGTATCCAGATCAATAAATAAACGAAAAATACATATTCAAACTTCATTCTCGTATTTAACTTATTTTATTCCGTTATTCTCTAATGTGAACTAAATCGTCAATTATATACGAGGGTAGCTGGCACATATATTTTGATTGCAATCATTCATGCAATCCAATTGGAGTCAGTTATAGGTCCAATAAAGGATTTTAGTGTAAATAGTATTGATAGATATGGATTGGGATGTAAACAATAATCATAACAATTGTTCCTAACTAATTGTCATAGAGGCCGAGTTGTGTTCACTCTCTGTTTGGTTTTTTCTCAACATTGAATAATTCCCTCTTTTCGAAAAACTATCATGTGTTTTTTTGACTTTTTCTAACTCCATAAACACGATATTAATTTTAACTTCTCTGTTATTCATCGTACTTATTTCATGTTGTTGATGTGATTTGGTATGAAAAAGATGTGAGTCGATAGACATTCAAGTCCTCTTTATGGAAAAAGGAATAATTTAATCTTCCGTTGATGCTTTTCACAGATACAAAAGTAATCTTATAAAATAAGAACTAAGTTGTGTATGCGAATTTCTAGATAAGGATGAATTTGTAATCGTCAATTATGAACTAAATTTAAATACACAACTGATGAAGATCAGGAAGTACTGAACACTTTCATCTTTCTCTTGGATTCCTTAGTAGTATACATTGATAATTTGATCAGATGTCGAACCTGTGACTTCAATACATTGCGACGAACTATCAAAAGTTTGGAGTTGGTGATTTGCTCAAATTGATATCTATCCATAGGCATAGAAGTTAAAAACAACCGAGAGTTATAAGGCTCATTTACTCAAAGAGTCTCGTACTAGGATGAAACAGCTATCCTATCCTTGATGCATTTCAATGATTGCTATTAATAATAATAATGAATAGCAGTAATAATAAGATCGGTCCGTAATGTAAACTAGAATATTCAACAGTATTCACAACCTCACATAGTAAACAATCACCATGTGTTTACTAGATGTAGCTGATCTACGCTTTTTGCTATGTATTGCTGCAAGATTTTAATTCTTAGGATTTGTGTTAAAGATTCCAACTGCTAAATCTCTTTTGGCAAATATGCATTTTGAGGAGATTGCCTTGATATTACCATGTATCCTTAAGTGTTTATTAAAGTTGGATTAAGGCTAGAAGTGAAATTTATTTTATTTGTAACCCAGTAGCTAAATATACCGATTTCCCAATGTTATAATATTTTGTGATATAATATGATGGTATGCTCTTCGATTCAGTCACTTAAAACTTTAGTAACGGCTGGTCAACGCAATTACATGCCAAATAGAGACCAATATATGTATTCACAAAAGTTGAATAATAATGGCTACATAATTTTTGTCTAAATAAACAGATTGATTGAAAAAAACAACAACGTTTAAGCTGTAATCTTGATCAGATGAATAAACCCTTTATAATAACTCGCTCACTTAATCAAACTCTCTGAAAAGAGATGCCTAACACAATATATGAACTTGTCTTATTTGTGACCGAATAAATTTTATGTATTCATAGGTACCTAGTTTGTATCGGATAACTACTATTTTACCATTAACTTAGGACTTACATACCAATGCGCAGATCTAATCATCAATAGAATACTAACCTCAGAGGGGGTTTTGTGGATATTATAGTAATTTTAGTAGTTGATATCACGATATATTTGGAGCTAGACCACCATGGAAAACCTGGAAGTACTGGACGGCCGTTTCATCCTACTGTAGAACTCCTCCGTGACAGTGCGCATCCACAATCTAGACTCGCGAGATTTGAACTCAGGACCTATCAGTGTACAGCGGGAATGCTTTACCACTAGACCACTGTGGTGGCCGGCATCCAACGGTGTTAATGTCTAATTTGAAATAATCCACGAAATTGAGTGAGACATCCACCATTGTCATCAGTGAGTTACTATCTCTCAATAGACCTGGTTGAACTCCACTGGTCATTGCTTCTCACTAGGACTCCAGAAAATACCTCTTGTGAAGCCAGTCACCAATGAGACTGCTGTCGGTCTGTCTTCAATGGACTTATGATTTCAACTATTAAGAATACTAACCACATAGCACTTTAATTCGTAAATCGCTGAAAAATTCCCATTATATTAAAACACTGTTGTATGAACGAAGAATATTCTTTTCAATAATTTCTCATCAGGTTCTACAATTACGAATCCAGATTACGGATTATTAATCTGGATTTATAATTTGTAGAACCTGATGGGAAATTATTGAAAAGAATATTCTTCGTTCATACAATTGTGTTTTAATTCGTAAATCTCCATGACGTTATTATGTCTCACTCATGTAAGTATTTAGTTGTTGACAGAACAGAATGTCGTCCACAGAACAGCACTCTTCCCCTCTCCTGATTGGCAGCGCCACCAAATGTAGTGAACAGATCACGGGTGGGAACAATCGAACGTATTTAAACACAAAATTACAGAGTATCTTAATGAAATCTAACAATCAAATAGTAAATGCTTAATTTGCAAAATGTCCACTAATTGTCTCAAAATGACTCAGACTTCATTGTTCTTGCATTTTCATACAAATTGCATTGTGTTTCCATTCTTTACTGTTCGATCCTCTTGTCTATCTGCTGCCAGACATTCTATTCACGACTAACATCATATACTATTTATGTCGATTTGAGTAGCACATACAGCACCATAGTAATCTTTTGAACATTTTATGAACATTCCTTGATGTTTTTTCTTCTTTTGTTTTGTTTAATTTAGTCATCGGGATGTAACAAAAGAACTAAATGTAAAGATGTAAAATTTTCATCATATTCTAAAGTCAATGTACATAATGAATTAGATAATCATATAACAAACGAAATGAATACAAATTTCTATTCTAATCCTATCAATCTTCGACGTAATCAATCACGTTATCGTTCATTACGTCGTAGACAAATGGAAAATTTAACAAAACGTGCTGAATGGTTTTTACAACCAACTATATTACCTAAATTAACATTTACATTAAATCAATTCAATAATAATAATGATACAAATACAACTATGTCTACAATATCATTATTAAATATACAAGATAAAATGAATAATACAATGACAAATCATAATTCTAATATGATACAAGTTGTTCATCCAAGAATATTATTCACCTCATCTACAAGTGATTTATTGATTCCATCAAATTATGACCACCTAGATGCAACATATTGTCGTCAACCCTATGATGAAACATTATTAGATCATCAAAAAATCAATCCAACTCATTTATATCCATCCTACAATTATGGTCATAGTTTTAATAGTTTATTAAATCATTCATTATTATCAACAACGTCATCATCATCATCTAATTATTATGTTATATCACAATCAAATCAATTATATTCATCTCAACTAAATCAACAAAATCATACAATCAATTCATTACTTATACCGGATTTATCATCAGAAGAGAATAATACTTCAACTCATTCATTTCTATATTATAATATACCTAAATATTCATTATCATATCATCATAATTATGATCATATCAATAAACATGATCGTTTACAATCAACAAGTTATGATAATTTTCATATTCTATCCTATTCATCTAATCATAATATACATGAAAATAATAATAATATCAATCTAATAGATAATTCTAATATAACACCTACTAATATATCTTCTATATCGAATACAAATTATACAAATTCAACAAATCTTTCATTCAATGTTAAAAATGAATTATGTCATAATAATAATAATAATAATAATAATAATAATAATAATAATAATAATAATAATAAATTAACATCATCTATCTCAGGTTTAGATATTATTAAAAAATCAAATATGGTTTATTCTGATTGGTCCATTGATCGACCAATCAAAAATGAACTTTTAAATCGTTATCGTCCACGTAGTCATAGCATTAGTAATAATAATAGTAGTAGTAGTAGTAGTCGTCGTCATAGTAACAATGTAACTAAATTAAAATAATCTAAACTCATACCATTATAAAATGAATTTGATAATAAATAGTTAAATACAAAATATAAATTATAAACTAGTTAATTGTTTTTTTTTCTCTTTATTCATTTATTTTATTGTTTAGTTACTTTTTGTATACAAATAGATTAAATAATATTGTCCTAGTCAATAATATTTTAATGTTTTAACAATCAAAAAACTGTCTCTCTATCTCGTTCTTTGAACTTTGTTGATTTCGTTTAAAATCTAATCTATTACTGAAATGTAATATACTTTATGATCATTTAATACTCATTTGTATATATATATATAATAGTGACAATTGGTATATATATATATATATATATATATTGCAGGGAGATGCAAAATACTCATTACATATATACTTAGTGCTAATATCACACAAATGTATGATTTTAATTTTGTAATGAGTTCATTGAATTGAACATTTAATACAAAACAAACAAACATGACTGGCATTTATTTTGATTGAATGTTTATTTATTTATTTGTAATTGTAAATGTTTTTTAAGATTTTTCATGGATATAATATTGAAAAAAAACAACAAAAAATGACGGTCATCGAAAATCTTGCATTTTTATAATAGAAGAAAAACTCTCTCACACACACACATTGATGAATAGTATACAAATGCATTTTTCGATTTTTCTAAATGATCTCAATATGACACATTAAAAAAGGAATAAATAAAACAACACGTTTATACTTTCCATGAAGATAAGTCTCATCGTGATCTTCGTTTCTTTCTTTCTTTTTTTATTATTATTTTATTTTAATGTTTTCTTTACCCTAATAATCATGAATAAATCAAAGGTGTGTAGATGTGTGTGTGTGTGTGTAGTAGAAGTTGATGTGAATATACATGTATAACTGTTTCATCAATATTTCTTGCTTATACCCTGTTTTCAAAATTTCAAAAAACCCAAAAGAAGAAGAAGAAAAAAAGAAAAAACAACTATTACGTCATTATATTTTCAAATTGTTTACTTTTTAATTTTTGTTTTCATGAATTTTTTTTGTGTGTTTTATTCATTAAAATGTTTTTTTTCTTTATTTTTATTTTTTTTTGTGTGTGGAAATTTTTTTCAATTCTCAATGATTACTTTTATGCTACATTTTTTGTGGTTAATCTGTAATAAAACAAAAAAGAACATACTGTGTGTATGCAGAAAAAAAAGAACATTTAGCAAACTTTTTTTCTTTTTTTTTTCTAAAATAAAGAAAGAAAGAGATAAAGTTCATTTAATTGATTGTTAAATTTTATTATTCATCATTTTCCTTAATTGTTTATATAATTATTAAAGTAAACAAGTTTGTTTTGCTTATTTAAATCATTTGTATTTGTCAACTAACAACTTTTATTGAAAGAAAAAGAAACAAGAAAGAAAGAAAGAGATTTGATGAAACTTGTAATTGTAGTATTGAATCATTGAATAAATGATTATTTATAACATGATCAAGATCATTGCAATAGCTATTCAAGGTAAGAAGGATTGTTCTTATTGAGTTGATTGAATATATCGTGTTAAGATATTTGTCTTCATGAAATATCTAAGAAATAAACTGATTTGACAATGATCATGACAATTTGAAAGTATAAATGGAAAGCTTAAATGATATCAATTTTTGTGATCGATAACACAATCGTTGAAAATCAGTGATTTTAGGTACATTAGCTTCATATGGGGACGAAAATCTGCTGATCTCATACAACGTTTTCTTCTGTTATGACAAAGTAGCATATCTTACTGTTGTTATATCTTAGTATAGTTGACAATATCACTTACCGTGAGATTATAAGTTTTCTTCTTTTTGTCTATTCATTATTCAACTAACCTGCATAGTATAGTAGGAGATGAAGGAACAAATTTTCAAAACACTATGTCTCATTTGAGGTGCTATGATGATATACTTTTAATTTGTGAACATTTTCACTTGTTGTAGTACGTTGTTAGTTTGATTTTATCAATGGAATCCTCCATACTATTAGAAAACAAGATATTTTCTTGAATCATGTTTATCTTCATTAACCTCAAAACTAACATACTGTCAAATTATCATTGGGTAAATGAATAATTTAATGATTTATAAAATAACCAAAAAATAACTGCATCTCATTTACCATTTGATCTTAGAAGATCAAAAAAGATACAATTCAGTTTTATCCACCATGTCAGAAATATTGTTAAATATCTTATAATTATCTACTTACTCTTTTTACCCTTCGTGGAGGTTCATAGGCTATCAACCAGCACTATCCATCCCACTCTGTCCTGGACGATCTTTTCCAGTTGCTATTCATCCTTTTCATATCTGCTTCCAACTCCCGACGTAGTATGTTCTTCGGCTTTCATTTTTTCCGTTTCCCTTTAGGATTTCAAGTTGGGGCTTTCTTCATGATGTAGTTTGCTGATTTCTTCACTGTAAATCTTCTTTATTTACGTCTTTTCCTAACTTCCTGTTTAGATGGAAGTGGGTTTGTTCTGTCTTATAGAAGGCTGTTGCTGATGATACCCGACCAACGGATAAATACCTGATACTTAACACAGAGGTTAATTCTCTGAATATATATATATACTTATATCGGTATAAGTAGTATATAACGCGAGTCAGCAATAGAATTTCTGGCAGAAGAAAACTGAGAAGATCAGGAAGGGAAGAACGTGAAAAGTGCAGGAATAGTGAAGTCTGAGACGAATGACTGATATTTGCAAAAGGAACAGTCAAGTTTGAGACAATTGATTGATAATTTGCAATTTAACTATTTACTGTATGGTTCTCAGATTTTACTAAGATGTGCTGTAATTTTGTGCACAAATACGTACGATTGTCCCCACTCGTGTTCCTTGTTCGCTACAATAGTACCAGCATATAAGTGAGATTCTAAATATTAAGAGTTTATAACTAAGAGATCACATTTAGCTGAAAGTGTGATTATGAAGCAACTAACTGTCAGACTTATGATGTAGATTGGTGCAGAATGAGTGTTTGGTGTTATATCCTAGTGGAGATTAAATTACGGGTAACTTCCTAGAACCATTAATGGACTAGTATTATCTATATATTTTTATGGTATAACTATTCGGTAACTAGATTATATATATCTATATTTCCCTTATTATAAACTTCATTTTAATCTATCGACTATTATTATAAGATTTACTGTTCTTTAATTATGTTCACTTTGTTAATTACCGTCTCCCACAGTCTTAGCCACTTTTTGGCCTTATTTTGTATAAATGTTATTACCTATTTTATGGTGCGATGCGGTCAGCTTGGCTGGTATATGAACCAAGTACATCTGAAATAATTGATTCGCATAGTGGAGTCTGTTATTGGTATTCTTGACTAAAGTGGTTGGGCTAATCGAGCAACAGACCAATTGGATGCTAGGCTGATCAAACCGATTGAACGTCACTGGTTTAGTACAGTACAAGAGTGAATAAGCCGTATTTTGATTGGCGAATAAATTAAGTGATAACTAGCTGGACTTAAAGTAGCATCAGTTAGAGTTTGCATAAGTGTCGTAACTAACGATTGGAAACTTTAGGTGACATCCCTACGAATAAGTTGAAATGATTCAGGCGGATTCATTCTAGTTTTCTTTATATCCCCAGTTTTATAATTATCATATCATCTACCCTATAAATCAATTCTTTCTTCATAAAAAATATCGTGTATTGTTTATCATTTCTATCATTATTATTGTTTTCATCACTACTACTAGTGCTACTAATTCTGTTACTCTAGAGTTTATCTACATAATTTTATGTTATAGTACATTTGATTATCCCCAACTGTGTTCTCGTTCATTACAATATTATAAACTTACTATGCATTTAGCTTATTATATACATCTACTATTTTAGTGACTTAGAACCCAGATACTTTAAGTTAAACTGTTTCATAAGAAAACGTAGCCTAAATTATAAAATATTCCCCTTAAGTATACTTCATGAAAGAATAATCAATACTAATGCTTACTGAAGAATAACTTATAGACTGATTTCTTAACATTGTATTTAGAGACTGTATTTTACAGAAACATTCAATGAATTGACTATTAATAATGCTAATTCTAAGCTAATAGTTGACTTAAAAGGAATTATCATCATTTTAATTTTGACTTGGAGTTTTAAACGCTTTTTTATGTTTGCAATAAGACTTTTAACTTTTAGATGAGATGAAGTTAAGGCTTTTGACTTCTCAGTTGATCTGGATCTTTTATCGCACACGCAATAATAAATGTAGAAGTCGACAACTAGTATAGCAAAAGCACTAGGTATCATCATACACAAACGTGAAAGCACGATTTTCTGATACAACACAACATGCACCAGTCGAGTCACACATGACGGAGAAGCTTTGGGGGATGTAGAATCCTTTATATATCTAGACAGCATCATTGATGAACATGGTGGATTTGATGCAGATGTGAAAGCGCGGATCGATAAAGCAAGAGCAGCATATCTACAATTGAATAACATCTGGAACTTCAAATAACTGCCAACCAACACCGAAATCAGAATTTTCAATACAGATATCAAGAGTTTTGCTGTATGAGGCGGAAACTTGCAGAACTACGAAAGTCATCATCTAGAAGATACAAGTGTTTATTGACGGTTGCATACATAAAATACCTCGGATCTGTTGGCCTGACACTATCTGCAACAATCTACAGTGGTAGACAACAAATCAGATCCCAGCAGAGGAAGAAGTCAGGAAGAAGAAGCACTGGAAGTGGATAAGACAATATTGAGGAAAGCACTGAACTGCGTCATAAGGCGTGCCCTCACTTGGAATCCTCAAGGCCTCAAGGAGAAGAGGAAGACCAAAGAACACATTAGGTGGAAAAGTAGAGACAGACAATTTTAGTGATGAATAAGACATTTACAATTAAACAATATTACTTCCAAATTAAAATCATTCTACAATAAATTCACACATAACAAAACTGTTAATTTTGATGTAGGAGGAAACAATCAAGTCAGCTATAACTAAATTCACAGTACTACTCATTCACACGAAACGTTAATATAAATATACTTCAAGGTTATATACATGAACTAATTTCATGTGAAATGAATAAGAAATTCATATCAATTAGATATAATAAACATGAAAGTGTTAATAAGTGTTCGAATTGTTTTCAGTCATATAATAAACGATTAAGAAAGAGAATACTCAACTAGTGTTAATAATCTAAATAAAATCATTAGAAAAATGAAAGTGTTAATCATTTTCAAAACGCTCCTTCATGTCAATAAACAAAAAACAACAACAACACACCTGTGATCAGTATGAAGTTGTGGAGATTACTAATTTTACGGATTGAGATCATGAATAGATTAATTTAAGACAGTCATTGAAAATCTGGAAGCGTTGGACAGCTGTCTCGTTCGCGCGCGAGGGACTGAAGGTCCTGGGTTTGAATCTCGCGACGTGAGATCGTGGATACGCACTGCCACGGGGGAGTCCCATATTAGGACAAAACGGCCGTCCAGTACTTTTAGGCTTCCCATGTTGGTCTAGTTTCAATTGACTTATGAATTTAACAATTAAATGACTATAATATCTACAAAACTGTTCTCTGATTACAAACAGAGTCTAAATTGAATATTTTTGTCCGCGTGTTTTTAATAGCGTTGTGTTCTGCAGGATGGGTTTGCTGACTCCGTGCCCTCCTGTCCTCCTTTATAGAGGCTTCGGACCGGCAGCAACCTTAGCAGAGCTGCTGGAGGAGTTAATTGCTTATAATTCTGTTAATAATAAATAAGTTAAATGTCTAGTGACATAAAATGATATCTTACCATCTGAAGCACACAAGACCGATAAAAGCCATAAAGAAAAATTAGTGATTATAAGAATCCGAAAACATCGAAAATGTTCATACGAACAGTTCGACATTACTTTTGAAACATCTGTCTTCCCCATTTTAACAACAATCAGGACCGTAACTGTAGTAAAGTTCAGTACTCGTTGTGATTTACTGAAGCTCCAGTTCATTAAAATGTAAGTCTCAGAATTTTTTCTCATTCTATACGGTTATGAGCAGTGACCTCGGTTTTGAAGGAGATTGACAACACAGTTAGGTTTTATTCATTTGACACCGGGGTCATATCTTGTACTTCCTGTATTATGGTTAATATACATTCATTTTTCGAGTGATACAATCAAAGTACCACCACCAAGAGTAGACCAATGTTCTATGAAGGTTGGTTTCATTCAGGATGAGCACTGTTCATGCGTGTTTCAACTTAGTACTGTCTGATATTTAGATATCTAGGATTTGTTTTGATATTTCCTCAGTTAAAAAAATAATATTTTGATTTTATGAAAATATACTTATTAGTTTGTTTTATATTGGTAAGATTGAAAACTGTGAACGTTTCGATACATCAAACACGGACAAATCATTGATACTTGAATGCGTAGTAAACTAGGTAAACATGTGACAAAATGTCAGTATAATGATGTCGTAAAAATGCTTAAGCAATATCCTGGAAAGTACATTTTTCTTCACAGAACTGCGCCAAACGGATTTCTAGAATTTTTCCCAAACTTTCTGCAAGCGTTGGTAAAAATACAAATTTTCACTTGACTTTGTGGAAAACTACAAGACTACCTCAAAGTCAGGAGATATGTATTAACCAGTAAAATTAAGGTTAGTTGAAAAACTCTTGTTTTTTTAAGCTTTTAATCACCAAGCGGATCCCAGTAACTTTGACTGGAATAACATTGCAAACTATATCCTACAGAAATACCACTAACTGCAATATTTTGTATCGAGTGCTTCAAGTCGTAATATACAAAGTCTCCGAATTTTGAAGACTTTTCGGCAATATTCTTCAAAGCCATATAAAAATTCATAGTTTTACACCAGCTCTGATGAAATATTGAGGAACGCCATGAATTTTCTCAAACGTCTTGAGGATCTCTCCTAAATAACTCGCAATTTCATGGAAAAACTCCAGACAAGGTATAAATTTTCCAAAAATTCATATTGCAGCTTTTTTGAAATGCATAGATTTCTCCCCGAAATCGGATGATTGAGAAGTTGTTAAGCAAGTCATGAATAAACAGTTTTTTTATCTGCAAAGTAAGTGAGTTGGTTAAGGTTGTCAACGCATCTCATATTTAAACGGAAATAACCTCATGCTGGCTAGTTCTAATCGATTTTTTTACTGATACATTTACGACTTGTACACCTTCACATTTCCCGCAATCTACTTAAAATGACATCACAATAACCTGACGTAGGTAACTCAATAAAACCGTATATTAGTCGAGGTTCGCCCGTTGAATTACCGTATTTAAATTCGAATTTTCACCCTCTTATCGATCACATAGAATTTTTAACGTTGCTAGTCAATGATTATTCTTATTTTTAATTTTTAATGTTCTACACCTCTTTAATTGATTCGTTTGGTGTTTGTTGTCACCTCATGTACTGCTCTCTGGTTATAGGAGACTAAATAAAACAGTTTTCTAGGATGGGTTAGGAGACTCCACAGAACATTTGTTTAACTTTCATAGTAGCTTAGGAAACAGTTTCGATATAGCGAGTTCATAGTAAACAAAGACGAATGACGACCAGATCTAGCGAATACTGGAGCTCGAAAAACTGTCCCTCGGCCAGCGGATATTCCTACAGTACGACATCTTGAGGGATCAGTTAGTCATTTAATAAAAAGAGCCAAACAGATATAGCCATATGAGTAAGTCGATTGTTGGCAGTCAGAAGTGACCTAAAGGACAAGTTGATTTCATTGTCTAAGAAATGGATCAATATCTTGAGGATTTGAGTGGGATATATGAACGAGTATCTTTCCACTTTATTCCGTAGTTCAAAACACATTCACGTTAAAGCTTGTGTTGTCACTCAATTAGTCAGTTAGTTTTAGTATCACATTTTTGACACCGTATGTCAAAACATTACTGCATATTGTTCTTGATCTGCATCACTTATGTCCTCCACTGAAGCACCTACAGGTAGGGAATGGAAAACGAGAATAATCCACACACTTTCGTATGGTTTACTACAAGATCAACTTAGTTCTGGATATGACGATACTTCCTTACCTATTGTAGGTGCTCCATATGCTCCAAGTTATCGTATTGTGTTAGTTAGTTCTCATATCTTTACCGATGAATCTGTAATAATGACTTCTTGTGAATCAAGTCATTCACAACGGCAGAACATGACTATAGCCAAACCAGCAAGGAGAACCCTATACCTTTTTCATACAATGTTGGGAGGAAATCCATTCACCATCCTGACAAAGCATAAACCATTTCAAACCGTGTTTTGGTCATGAAAGTGAATTCCTGTTCACAAAGCAAACTGACTACACTGATAAGGAATCCCAGTTCCAGGCTACAATGTCAGTACCTCGTATTTGTGTACTCAGTCTTTGAACAAGCTGACACCTTATCGAGATCAAAAGGTTCCAAGGGAAAAATTTTAGTAGACACTCTTGCGACAAGCATAAAACTAAAAAAAGTTCATCGCGTGGTGACGGACGGACGAACCACTAGTCATCTTCAAAGCTATCAAATAGGCCACCAAAAATCACAAAACATAAGAGAAACTAGGCATAAGCTGTCATTTTTGAAGGAGAACTCTTACAATACATTGTTCGATATTGCTCACTTATGGTCGTTGGTTTGTGCGGTAATTTCAGTGACTACATTGTATTCATGCATATATTTCATGTCTAGCTTTAGGGAACATGTTTTTAGTTAATGCGGATCTATTTACACAGTGGCTGAAAATATGTATTATGCCGAAATATATAGACAAAGAAACTGTCGAAAAAGTGCCTAGTTTGTTTGGATATATGGGTGTGCCAGTGACCTTGGTTAAAGATAATGACTCAGTTTGCTACTCATACACTCAAACAGTTTCGTTTTGTGAATATGATGACACACGACCTTCACCCTGCCACGCTTATTCTGACTGCAGGGCAGAAATCTTGGTGGACGAATTGTGACGCACTATGGTTAAAAGTAAAAACGAGGAGACACTGAGCCAAGCAGTCACAGAGTTTTTATAATCTAGTAGAACTACCCTAGACCTTGATATTCCAGATTAGAAGTCATCAGTCGATGGCATGTTTGAGAGAAGCAACCGGACAATTTTCAATGTTAAGTTATCACCCGAAAATCTGCATGGCCACAGAAAGTGTAGTTATATTCACAGTTTTAAGGTTGGGAGGAAAGTATTTGCCATGTTATACCAAGGCGAAAATTTATGGAAACCATGGACAAATGTTAAAAGAATGAGCATAGTTTTTTATAAAGCGTAGTGAGCCTTCCTGATACGTATTAGACGTTAGTACCAAATCGGTAAAGATGAAAAAAATGTGTTCACTTGAGGTAGTCAAAACAATCTGCTACCGCATATACATACAGACACTTACAAAATAAAATCATCGGATGAAATTGAAAGGAGTTCACAAGGAAAAAATAGGATGAGAAACATTAAAAAATAGAAGGCTGTTAATCAGTCATCAATTTATGAGCAAACGTGAGGAAAATATCATAATGTTCAAATGAGGGAAGGTGTTGGAGCAGCCAAGAAACTATCCCCTATCAGAGTCCATAGAGGGCCAAATATTCTGCTTCCAGTTTGCGCTTTCTCTCAAGTGTTCTGTCGATGTGTAGACGGACGATTAGGAAAACAGTTTGAGAATGTCGGTAGTAAGACGTCCAAGAATAAGGATAATCTTCTCGCATCCATGTCATTAGTTTAAACCAGCAAGCCAGCACTAGAGTGTGATTTCTTTAGTAGCTTGGTACAACGTCACTATGATATTGTAGTGCTTCAGCAATTCTAATGGCTCATATCTAGTCTTCCTCGCTCGTGGCTCAGGAAGGTATGCTTGCAGCACACTGAATCAACCAACGTAACCAGCAAAATAGATGCTCAATATCACATTAAAGCCAATCTCCATTAGTATACGCAGCTCATTCATCATAAGCTCAACCAAACATATGACCTACAATTAAATAACAAACTGACTATAATCGTTATAATTGAGTAGCCAGATTCAGTCCATCGAATACCATCAAAGATCTGTCATCTTCGAAAAAATAATGAGGATTAGAAACGAATAAATCAGTCGGCTTATGCAAATATATTATATACATTAGATCCCATGATGGTTGTGTTACAATCCGCCCCCCTCAAGGTGAAAATTGGTTACACAATAAGCGCGTTTTAGAATTGCGTAGAAACCCGATGTCATCCTATGTTATCGACCTAAGATGATATAGGTACCGGATATCGTCACGAAACAAGTTCATTCAACTGTAGAATACATTGGCAAATAGTAAAAAGGTCAGCCATTGAAATGGTTCTAAACGCCATACTTCAGATAACATTATATCCAGATGTGTAACTTATTGCCAAATTATCAAGTCACACCAGATTGTAGTGAGACCTATGAAACGGACTCGGAATTCGCATATTCTGAAAACAAAGATATCAAGAGTTCCGAAGCTTCGAGGCAGAAATCTAAACAAAACAAAGAAAGTAATGCAAACACAAAATCACGTACGTAGATGATTTTGTTAATTTCTAAGCTACTGATATTGAAGTATTACATAGTGTTTTTCTATGAGCTTGTAATTATAAACTGCTTCTGCTTTTGGTCAAAGGCGCAACAAAACGCTTTTTGGACATGTATTTAAAATGGTTCAAATGGTTCAAATGGTTGTGGACGGAATAGAAGAAGCTTTCGCTTAACAGGCTTCCGTGTCTAGTAGCAGGGGATCACCAAATCCTCCAGGCAGGAACCTAGGTATGTTATCAATAAAAAAGGAAAAGAAATTGGTAAATCATAATGTGATGCTGTCCTTGGTCCTTAAGAATAGGTCAAGTTGCCTCTTGAAGGACTCCTGAGAAGTCGCTTGGACTAGCTCGGCCGGCAGCGAATTCCAGCTTTTGACAACTCTTAAGGAGTAGAAGTTGTGTCTACATTCCGTCTTGCTATGTTGTGTTTCCAGTTTCTGGGTGTTACCCCTTAGGTTATTATTCGAACTAAGCTTAAGTAGGTGTTTAAGAGGATGTCCAGAAGTGTTAAGAATACTATAAGCCATTAGTAAATCACCTCTAAGACGCCTATATTCTAGTGGGTAAAGGTCTAGTGAACGGAGGCGTTCTTCGTAAGGTTTAGATTTGAGTCCTCGAACTGATTTCGTGGCTCGCCGTTGGATACGCTCCAAAGTGACCTTGTCCTTTTGGAGTGAGGGGGAGAGTACTATGTTTCCGTACTCTAACTGGGGACGGATGAAACTATTGAAGATTGTATGGAAAGTTCGTCTGTCAAACTGTCCAAAAATGCGCTTCAATGTTACCAGTGCAAGGTTTGCTCGGAAGGCATTTTTGTCACAGTTAGCGTAAGACTTTAAGTCATGGGGCATCAGGACTCCTAAATCCTTTTCGACTTGGGATACTACTAGAGAGGAGTTTCCTAAGTTGTAACTGTAGTTTGCGACATGTCGCAGATGGACTACTTTACACTTTGAAGTGTTAAAGGTAAGTCCGTTATCGTCTGCCCAACTTTGAAGTCGCGTCAGATCCTCCTGAAGTGCCTGTGTATCGACTTGGTTGCGTATCTCTCTCCAAAGTTTCACGTCGTCGGCAAAAAGTAGTAAGTCTGACGTTACCTGTTGAGGAAGATCATTTATGTAGATCAAGAAGAGAAGAGACCCTAGTACTGAGCCCTGGGGAACCCCACTGGGACATTCCATAGCCTGAGATAAAGTGAAATTAACCCTAACCTTAAAGTGTCGATTTTTTAGGTATGAAGTAAGCCAATCGATTAGAGGTGGTTTGATACCTAGTAGTTTGAGCTTGTTGATAAGACACAAGTGGTTAACCTTATCAAAAGCTTTTGAGAAATCAAGGTAAATGACGTCAACCTTTCCCTTGCAATCGAGGATGCTTGTCCATTTGTCCACCGCAGTCAGCAGGTTGGTTATACAAGAGTAACCCTTCCTGAAACCATGCTGTTGGGGTGAGAAGAAATTTAAGGACAGTAGATAATCGTTTAAACCGTCGCATATCAGGGACTCCATGAGTTTTGAAGGTAATGACAGAAGAGCCACCGGCCGATAACTTGAAGGTTCATTGCGTCGACCACCTTTGAAAATTGGTGTGATGTGAGCCAACTTCCAGTTTTCCGGTAGTTTGCCTCGGCTAAGCGAGTGTGAGAACATCACGCTAAGCGGCGTTGCCAGGATTGAGGCTGCCTCCCTCAGTATGGCAGGATGAATCATATCCGGGCCAGGAGAAGTGTCAAGTCTTAAGTGCTGCAATTTCCGGAACACCAAGTCAGCGCTTAGGTCCACTTTAGAAAGTCCTGTGGAATTGCAGATGAAACTGTCACCAGTAAAGTTGATGTCAGCCGGTTGAAATGTTTGAGAGTAATGTGCCGCCAGAAGGTTAGCGGCGTCGCCATCGTTGTTGGTTGGGCCGTTAAGACCTAGCAGTTGAGAAACTCCTGTTTTGGCTTGACGAAGAGAGGCTGCATAACGGAATAGGCTTCTAGGGTTAGAGGCGAATTTGTCCATAAGCTTTGTTTGGTACTGAAGCCTGTCTTCTCTTATAGCCTTTGTGCATGTGTTCCTGATATGTTTGTATTGCCTATACGCTCCGTCGTTATCAGTTCGTTTGTATTCCGCCCAACAGTGCCGTTTGCGGCTTAGGAGGCGAAGGGTACGGTTTTTGATTACTGTAGGTGGCTTGAAGCTTTTGGGAACCATTTGAGGAACTGAATGGTCTGTAGCACATAAGAGCGTGTGCAGTAAGAAGTCCCAATGACCATCCACATCGAGTTGAGGGTGAACATCCCAAACCACCTGTTGTAGATAGTCATGTAGAGCTGGCACATTCAGCCGTTTAAAATTCCAACGCAAATTATTGTTGGGATACCTTAGCTTAGTTTTGATGACAAAACTGAAGGCTATGACGGCATGATCGCTTTTTCCCAGAGGAGCTAGGATTGAGAGGTTGTCGACTAGGAATTCTTCGTTAGTGAATACACAGTCTAAGCGCGATGGTATCTGACTGTTTCTCCAACGAGTTGCCGACCTCACATTTTCATATAAGCCCAAGTCATCGATGAGGTTGAAGAACCGAGCTTCAATTGAGTTGTCGCCTCCAGTGTACGTGTGTTCCGCGAAGTTGACTCTAGGGAGATTAAAGTCCCCTAGAATCAGGATGTGTGTGAAACCGAGACGGATAGAGCGGGATAGTCCTTCCAGCATACGACTATCGTACTCGGTGTCGGCAGTTGGCTTCCTGTAAATGACTCCGACTAGACACCTGGAAGTACTAGACAATCTTACAGAGCACCATATGGATTCCTCAAGATTGTTAAACTCGAGGTTGTGAACCTGGTGCACCTCCAAGCAAGAGCTTATGTATATGGCTACTCCGCCCCCAATTCCTGTTTTTCTGTCGTTGCGTAACAAAGTCATCCCAGGCAGTGCTAACTCTTGGTCCGAGAACTGAGAAGATATCCAGGTTTCAGATATTCCTATCAGATGGGCCTTATTAGCGTTGCTAAGTTCACGTAATTCATCCAGTTTGTTTGGTAGACTCGCGGCGTTCATATATAAGCAGTTTATGCTTTCTATTTGGAACGCGTGAGCTTCGTCCTGTTTTTCTGTATGAACCTTATGTGAATGGACAGGTAGCCCACCTATGTGAGGTTTGCCGAGGTGGTAGGCCCTGTCCTTTACACGTTTTTTTATCGTTTAGACAGTCCACAAGTGGAATGGTCAGCTCCAACTTGTCTTTGTTCTTGGTCCTAACTTCGTATGGCCTATCCGGGTGCATGTGGATTCCAGGTGGCAATCGACGTCTATTAGCACGAAATGCTTCCAGAACTGCAGCCGCCATGTGGGAAGATGGGAAGGTTATCTTCATTAGACGGGGTCTAAGATCACCGTCCTTCTTGGCTAGTCTCGTCACATGCTGAGTCAGTATGTGTTTGAGCCTCAAGGACTGTTTGATGAATTTCCATTCCCTGATGTCAGAATTTGATTGAGTAGGGTCTGCATTTTCCGGTATACCTTGGACAATTATGTTTCTTCCGCGGAAAAACTTCTCGTGAGATTCTTTAGGGACGTTTCGTATGATACTGCGCTCAGAGTACGGTATGTCGGGCAGTATTCTTACGTTACCATCTGATTTCAGCAAGTGGCTTGCTAGCAAGACGTCCTCTACGTCGGTAGCAGCCTTAAGTGTTACTCAGAGAAGCCTCGGGTGATTTAGATGCTTAGAATCCTTTCCTCGAGTGAGCCGGGTGACCGTCAAAGGCTCTATTCTAGGAAGTTCGAGCTTCTTGTTCAATTCACCCCAGAGCATCCTGTCGTTTTTGTCCTGCAGACTGAGAGGAAGATCAGGATTGTCAACGAGGTTCATGATAATGAGAGAGTCGTCACGAACTGTTGTTAATTTACCAGGTTTCACGATGGGTTCAGGTTTAGTAACTTGTTGTTTGGAGGTCAGTGTGCGTTTATGAATCATGGGCTCTTTATTGACCGGACGAACAGTCTTGGGGGTAGACTGTGCGACTAAATTACCAGTTATTTTCCGTGCAGCAACACTTGGGTTGCTCGGCTTAGGCGGTGATGCCTGGTTCTTTTGGGCTTTCTTAACGTGGGTCAAATCACATGCAGGGTTTTTGGCAACCACTGTTGTGTTCGGGGACCCTGAGCTGGGAGACCCGAGTTTGCCTAGGGAGTTCAGTACCATCGACGTAATGATGGTACTGAGCCTCGACACGTCGTCGTTAGTGTGGATGGATGCTCCATCGATGGAATACCTATCGACATCCCTGTTTTTGAGTCCGTTGCACGCTCTTGTTTGTATATCAGTTTTTTTACTATCGTTTTCCGAGTTAACTGACAACTTGTTCCGAAGACATGTCAGTAGGACAATGATGTTACTCAGCAAGACTACGGAGTCTGTGTTGCACGTGACACACACTCACTTTTGCTCTGACTTGCTGAGTCTGTTGTAAGCAGTTGCTGTCAGATCTGTGCATGCTTCGTGGAACCAACCTTTGCAGTTGTCGCACTGCATGCCAGTTGTGACAGCAAAACGGCATCCCGGACGTTTGCATGAGTTTTTCATGACGGTGTTGAAGCAAATTATGTTATAGATGCTTGCAAGAGCCTAAGACCTTTTTAAAAAAACACGATAAAGCACACTGAAAACGGACAAAAATGGACAAAACGAGTGATATAAACTGAAACTAGTCTATACGTGAAAAACAAAAAAAACCGAATAGTAAGCTGAGGCAAAACCACAGGTAACTATTAAATATAGTGAAACTCAAAAAAAAGTAATCTACCGAACGTATAGCTCAGGATAGATTCTTTAGAACTGAAATGGTACTTTTGTTGCGTAAGAACACAGCAAAAGTTTTATAAACGCAAATCACGTTAGGACTAAACTTCCCGTTCGAAAAGCGCGGCCAGCCAGTGAGTAAAGACGGAAAATATATTCAGGGTTTGAGAACGCTTCCGGTCGTAACATGTTTATGACCAAAAGAATCCGACTCAGTCGGGAATGAGTCAGTCCGATTGTACATATACATATATATATACATGGTATAATTGTCATTGTATTGAGAAACGTCTGATCTAATGTGGCTAGTAGCTCCTTGGGATGAGTAGCGCGGGGTACCTGCTCGTGATCTGATGCAGACAACTGACCAAGCGCCCCTAGATGAGGTGTCTCCACTAAAATTAATGAACTCGATATCAAATGTTGACGGCTCACAGGATCACTTATTTCGGGGATTTATTTATCGTTACATGAGAGTGACTAGATTCCATAAACTTTTATAAAGCAATATAGGAAGTTCAGACCAATTTAAAATCCTTAACTTACACGCACCGTGGTAAAAAGACGTCCTCGTATATACATACTGATATACAGGAATGTACGCATTCCACGATATTGTATCTTGAGTAACGTCATGTTGATTTTTATCGATGTAACTGTACATTGGTTTTAAAATTGTCATTTGAATTTTTTACGGAGGTATTTGGTAGATTCAAACCGTCAACGAGTATAATTATCGTTTAAAAGTCTTATTCTGCTAGTTTCGTAATTCGCATATCCGGTTTTTGCAGTTGTTGAGTTATGTTATCGATACTACTTATGTATTAGTTACACATGCTTGAAACGGATTCACATATTAAGTCAAAAATTTAAGTCAATTAATGGGTGTTCATGATTTAGGGTGTAAGTTTATCTGCTGGGCTTGAGGGTTACCAAATACCTTAAAACTTACGGACCAAATTATGCATAATGCCTAACGTTTGATCGATCCCTGTTGAAATAGATGGGTGCTTCACAAAGTATGCTTTGTTAATTTTCACTTCAAATTCATTACTATACTCATCACTTTACTTTTTGAAATGAGCTTTTTATTCAAAAGATGTTCAAACAATTTACTGAAAAAAATCACAGATACCAATGAAAATGCTTTGGATTGCTCTGTATTATTTGATTGCTGGGAAGCATGAAATACAGGTTGGGAGAAATGTTTGCTAAAATACTGTCTTTCAACCTGAATCGATATACGTGTAAATGGAAAGACTTAGCTGGATATGCCGAGGCAGGTAAAGGGTGTCACAGCAATGTGAAAAGCTCGTAGAAGAGTGCGAAAAAAGTTTTCACCTGAAGTGTTTAGTATTTATGGCACGCATATCATGCTACCTCTTTCCTTGTTGTTCAGTCATAGATTGTATGAGAGTGAATCGGGAAATAACTGGGGTCATGCAAATCAAGAAGCGGATTCATTTTGTATATTTACATAGTCTCAGCCCTGGTTTCGCCAAAAGGTATGGGCTTTCTTTTTGAAAACTGTGCGGTAATTGTAATTAAAGACTGACAAAATCACTCGCCATCACTGTAAATCAGTTACAGTGGCACAAGCATAGGCGTTATTTACGCTCAACTTAATCCTTAGCCTTAAATTATTTCATGCTTCCAGTTTTTTGATTCCGTCCATTTTCTGAAAAGTATATTCTTAATGATAAGTTTGCCACTGTTACCGATACTACTATCATTTTCACCTCCTTGATTATCATCTTTTTAATGCAAAATGTGGTACTATTGAGTAATGTACATATGTTCCTACATATCAATTTGTTTAATGCTGGTTTTTGGTGAATTCATAATTTTGATTAAAAATTCTAGGGAATAATTCAAGACATAAGACTGTCATATCATAGAAACGTGAAACAACCATCTACATCATTAAATTATTTTATGCGTCATATACTAATATCCAGATGTTCGTGTCTTATATAATTAATATCTCGTTTCAGACCAATTTATTTTTGTTGTAACCAAACTACTTTTTATAACAAAAAATTGTTGATAAGAATGTTGATAAAATAGCTCACTTATGTAGATTATAAGAGGATAATGTTTTTTAAACTTTATCCATTTCGAGACTACATAACTAGTTAGTTAAGAAACGATTATACCATGTAAGGTAAATGACTTCCTTTGAGTATAAAACTTTTGAAACCAAACGTACTTAGCATAAAAAACAGCATGGAATGAACCTCGGCTTAAGTTTCTTTATAAAACCTATAGGAGACGATTTTTTAACTTACTTAAACTGACTGTTGAAATACAAATGTAGGTGAGACTATAATTATTGGACAACCTTTTGAGCGACGTTAAAATGATCTTGAGAGTGTCTGCCTACTTATTAGAGCTAAATGGGGGTTATAAAGCAGTTTGAAGAATAAGGATTATGATTTACAGCCGATGGTTAGGGTGAGGAAGTAGATTTAGGGTTCTTATCACGAACTGACATCAGCTATAAAGCCAAGACTCTATTTAGCCAAATACGTGAATGGATTTCTCACCAAAATCTAAGACTTGTTATCATAAATCTGATTGGTTCGTTCATAAATTATAGTCCCACCCAAATTACCTATATATTCTAATATAATCATTAGAAAGACAGTATATAGTACTTGTTTTAGACTTAATCTGCACTGGTGTCTGTAACTTTTAATCCCGACAGATTTCCTTAGTTTACTTAATTTGGTAAATTAGCCTGTGTACTAGTATTTATAAAACAAAGTCAATGGTTAACTATGTAAATTGAGATTAGAATTAGATTATCATAAGTTTCATCAATTTCTTTAAAAAAATGTAAATACTCCTTGCTGCACGGTGAATATCAAATATAAAGTTGATTTTAATTGTCAGTCGCTGAATACTCTTTGTTTATATTTTTTTATCCCATATTCCTAATTATATTCTTAATTTTTAGTTTGTCCTTCAATAAATGATAAAATTATTGTCTAAGTATACCAATTTGGTTAGAGAACTTGGATTAATGCGCATTGCTGGAAGATTCAGAGTTGTTTCATTGAATGAACCTTAGACCTTATGATGAATACAGTATAATAAGTTAAATGTACTGAAATACAATAATTCATATTCCTAATTATAGTTGTTTTACTATGATCTGGATAATCAACTAGCTTAAGAATATGTTAGCCATGTAATGTCAACATCATCACACTTCAAACTGAATAAATTTGATATAGTGGATAGTTTAGTAATTTAATTATATTTTGGTTAAAGAAGACTCAGAGATTTGCCTTTAATTTAGATTGAGATTTTGAAAAAAACTTGTCGGGGATGGAACAGCAGTTGTTTTTAGCTTTCTCATTCTTATTTGATTTGTTACTGTGGTGTGAGCTACTTATATGGTCAAGAATAGAATGTATTTCAGTAGAAGATCGAGAAAGAAACAATGGGAACGGAACTCAATTCTGTAATTTCGTGTTTAAATACATTCGATTTTCCCTATTCATGTTCTTGTTCACTATATTTGGTGTCGCTGCCAACCAATGAGGGCAAGACTGACGTTCTGCGGACTCCGTCTCAGGCCTAGAGATGAAGTACCAGTTAGGACGGTTTGGCCCAGAGAGGTGATGTCGAGTGGAGTGTTCTGGCGGGGTAGCGTTGGCTGAAGCGGGTGCTGTCGACGATAGGGAGCGGTGGGACGTGCAGCTGCTGGGCGTACATCGAATGTAGATAGCTCAGCAGGCCACTGGAACGCTGACGTTGAACGTCCAAGGTGTTGAGTGGATGTCGGATGTTGGTGCTCCGGCAGGTCGACAGAGCTATGGACGTCAGCGCTGCAGACTCGACACGGTGAGCAAAACCACCGCAAGAATGAATGCTTTAAAGATGGGACAAGTGTGCTGTGAGCTACTTATGTTTACATTAGTAGTATATAACGATGGACAGGAAAAGAATATATTTCAGTAGAAGATCATGAAGGAAACAACGGGAATGAAAGGCAGTTTTACGATTTCGTGTTAAAATACATTCGATTGTCCCCATTCATGTTCTTCTTCACTATACCTACTACTTTTACCTCTGAATCTCGATCATCACTACTTCTTTTTCAAAATTATAGATGAATCCTTTTCTTTTTTTGTTTTAATTTAAAGCATTGAAAACTATTAACTATAAATCAAAACTATCACAGCATAATTCAATCATAAAACCTTCATCTCATTCGAAATTTGATCATAACTCATCAACATCTTCATCAAAAAAACTAAATTTCAATAAGAAATTCTCATCAAGTGTTCTAGATAGATGGGAATCCAATCAATTCGCATTAGCTGATGCAAATAGTTTAATTATACAATTGAATAAAGAATTAAAAGATTGCAAATTAGAATTGAAAACTTTACAAAGACAATATAAAATGCAAGCTGTACGACTGGATAAAGTAAGTTAGATTTATCTTTTTAAAAGACTAACAGTGATTTCCATGAAACTTGTTAAGGAATGGTTTCTAGTTTTATTTTGAGTTCTCTCATAGGTATGTTAGTCAGTAGAACCTTATAAAGATATCATTTCACACCAGTAATATAAGTAAACTAAATTCATGTAACTAACCAGGTAGAGATATTCAACACCTGAACTAAAGATAGGGAGTGAAGTAGTAGAATGAGTCGACAATTTCACTTATCTTAGAAGTCTGATCAGACCTAATGGGTTGGTATCTGACAAAATCTCTGCATGGATTCGAAAAGCTCATTTGGCTTTTGCCAACATACGTTACCTATAGCATAGGCGAGATATCCGTCTATCAATAAAATGACGAGTATACCGTGCGGCAGCTCGCTCTGTTCTACTTTACGGTTGCGAAACATGGCCTTGAATTTAGACGCAGAGTATTAGAGAATGATGGTGAATCAGTTGATGAGGTTGTGAATCTTCATTGACTGAGATGGTTCGATCACGTGTTACGTATGCCTGAACACCGATTACCACGACGCACAATGCTGACCGGTGTTGGAGATGGTTGGAAGGAAGTTAGAGGCGGCCAAATCAAAACATGACATCAGTCAATGAAGTCTCTAACTTCTAGTCTGAGCTGTGTTGGTAGATGCAGACTATTTGGTTGAGGTCCATGAGACCACTGTAATCAATGGTTGGAGATTGTGTATGACATAGCTCATAATCGATCGCAATGGCATAGATGTATACACTCTCTATTTTCCCCTAGACCTTGAGATTGAAAATTGCTTTATACCTTTATTTCTACGAACTTATCATTTCTTCCTGTATTATCCCCTTATACAATCTTTTTTATATATATCACTACCATTAAAGTAACTACTTTCGTGAGTTCGGTGTTCATCTTGTGCTAATGAGGTGTGTCAACGTGGACCGATGCATATATGTGCCTGGTCGTACGTTGTATCTGACTGATTTCAGTTAAAACCTGATATCATGATGAGTGATTCAAGCCACTTTCTAGCGATGTTCGAACACGTAATGAAATAAGTTATTTTTGAGTAATTTAACTATAAAGTAACCACTCAACTAAACAAAAGGATGAGATGTGTAATTTAACTTTAAGTTCAGCTGTTTCGCTACCAGTTAAATGATTACTAACAACTGACTTGAATCACTTTTCATGATATCAGGGTTTCAGAGATTATTAGGTTTTTGATTGAGTTCAAGAATCAATTGGTGTTAGACTACCATTGAATACCTGGAAGCACTGGACGGCTGTTTCGTCCTATCGTGGGAATCCTTGACAGTGCGCTGAGCTCTAGAGGTTAAGCGTTTGCGCGCGAGACTGAAGGCCCTGCGTTCTAATCCTGCGAGCGGGACAATGGAGGCGCATTGTTTAGGAGTCCCGCAATAGGGCGAAACGGCCGTCCTGTGCTTCCATGTTTTCAACGGTGGCCCAACATCAATCAATTAATGATCTCAATCAAATACTATCAGGTTTTAACTGAAATATGGGAAATTAGAATATCTCTACATTGAAATAGTCTACCTATAATACTGGTATAACACTAGTTCATATAATGAGAAATCATTATTTCTTTTAAAATTAATTAGGCTATAGGACAAGAAGCTGATATGCCACAAATTGTTGATCGTTTAAATTCAGAAATACGTACATTACATGTTCGTCTACGTGAAAAAACTCTACAATCATGTATAGATCAAAGAAAAATTCACGAACTACAACAACGTATTTATGTATTAGAGAAAACAATTGATGAAAAACATAATCAATCTCAATATACTGATGAAGGATCATCGGTATCACACAAACGAAACAATAAAACTTATGACATATCTATAGAATTACAAGAAGAAAAGAAGAGAAATTCGGTAAGCTTTCAAATTGGAAATACAATATAGCGTTTTTATCGTTTTTTTAGCAAGTTGGTTTTCAACGGGTTGGGGTAACTAACCCCAATACCCAACCCTTCTTCTTTATACGGGCTTGGGACCGGTTGTAGCCTCGAGGGGGGGAGTTTCAGGCTAAGTTGCAATACAATGTAGTATTTTCATATTTCTTTAGTATAAGACACTGTTTCAACTCTTTATGACTATCTTATCAAATACAATGAGTAAAGAGCTAAACTTAAGATAAATTCACTTGGTATTGTTTGTTTGAATTTTCTCATTGATGTTTAGGACTACAATTAATCAATCTCTTATTGGCATATGTGCATACTGTACTCATTGCCTTAATGTAACTGTAATTCACAAGTACTATATGCAAATATGGAAAGTGACTAGCAGTGGAATCCAGTTTGACGCGCGTTTCGTCCTATTAGAAACTCGTCAGGACTCAGTAGCTAAGTGGATAATGCAATGGAGTTTGGAGCGAATGGTACTGGGTTAGAGTCATAGAGTGAATATCATCTCTGCAATACAGGTACACCCAGAATAAAGTGAATTCATCTTGTTTCAAAGTTTCCATTAGTTAAAAACAGCCTAAAATTACAAGTTTTATGTAATTATAAGCAAAGGTTTGAAATACTTTAGTTAGTAGAGGGTCTCACTTAGATTTTTTGAACAAATTCTTAGGAGACTATGTCAGAAATTCAGTAAGATGCAAATATATGGTGCCAGATAGGTAGTGGAAATAATGTGGACATCAGTAGTCAATTATACACAACCTTGAATCTGGTAAATACCTGCATTAGTTCGTGTTATCTCACCCCTGACAGTTGTCGCTACTTTGACGTGTTGGTTGGGCTTGCCCACCGTGATGAAGCAATCGAGCTATACTGGATGGAACAACCGTTCCTCAAGGTCCTAACATGTCAGACAGGTCGGTCGAAGAGCGGTAAGACTAAAAGCAACAAACCTAAGGTCCGAAGGCGAAGTTGTACTGCTGACTGTACAGAGGTGTGGTAGAAGTAAGATGTTTCCTTCAGACAACCCGCATGACAGCGATGCTGCCTTCTCACAAGGAGGGATGGGGTTAGAAAAGGTCGACTGTAAAAATGCACACCTCGCCTTATCCCACAGATATCCGTCTCCGGCGGTAAGGTCTCAACAAGTACGGAGCTAACACAAAAATTACCCATAAAAAGATCGTGTGTGACAGACCTCAAGCAGTTGTCCCTTCGGCACTGCAGTTCCGCTCTCAGGTCACTAAGCCCACCTCTAACCCAATTTCCTTTTCAGGTACCTTCAGAACAACTCTTCCACGGTGTGGGAAACCGGGAAGTGGTAAGCGCCCTCATACTTCTAATAGCAATAAATACCACTATATTCATAATCAATCTCTCTCAACAATTGTCCCAGCTTACTAGCACAGTGAAATGAAGTTATGTAGATAAATTCTAGAGTAACAGAATTATTAGTACTATTATTATTATTGGTAGTAGTAGTAGTAATCTTAGCGATGATAACAATAATAATGATAGAAATTATAACATACATATGATATTCTTCATGAAGAAAGAATGGATTTATAAAGGGTAGATGGTATATATAATAACTATAAAACTGGAGATTACGACAGTCAATCAGGCTCCAACCACGCATTCTGCACTTATTCATATGATAATTTTCACAGTTCGTTGTTTTATAGTCACACACAGCTTTCAGTTACATATAATCTCTTCGTTATAGACTCCTAATATTTAGAATGCTACTTATATGCTGGTACTATCATTTAGAACTACAGAATGTCAACCGCTGCTTAAATATCTTAGTGATAATGTTCATAAACGTAGCTTTAGTTAACAGATATGTGAACACATTGGGAAACAACAGTTTTCATTAAAACTTCCAATTCACTTACCTATCAATTAGTATCCATCATCTTCAATGACATTGTTATGGCCCAAAGCCGCCAATCAGAAGCAGCGAATTATCGATCGAATCAATGACGCATAAAACAATTACGAGCAGTCTAGCGTCCTTATCGGTCTTGCTTCCTGCCTAGCCCAGTCAGTTAAGTCTAGAACAATAATCTCAACCTCTGCAATATGAATCCTTATATTTCAAACATACTGATTTTACATACCAATCAAACAGAACGCAACGTACCATAAAATAGGAAACAACATTTGTACAAGATTTATCCAAATGTGGCTATGAATGAGGGAGGCAGTGACTAATAGACAGGGCATAACTGAAGAATGGTAAATCGTATAATAATGGTTCATAGGTCAAAATAAAGTTTATAATAAGAGGAATATGAATATGGATATTTTAGGTACTTAATAATTATACAATATAAATATACGCTTAGTATTTGTCCATCAATAGATCCCAAAAGTTACCATTCATTATGTTTCTCGGGACATAACATAACTCATTCATTATTTCTTCTCTATTGTAGCAATTAAAGCATCAATTAGATGTATTAGCAAAAAATCATAAACAACAAATCAATATGAATAATGAAAAACTACGAAGTTTACAACAAGAATATCAACATTTAAAAGATAAACTTCATGAAAGAACTCAACAACTACAGGTAATTATAAAATTTTTCTATTAAGCATTTCACCTATTCCGGTAATTTTAAATCTTCTGTTCAGTGAATGTATATGTTAACGTTTACTTTATCATATAGACATTCTTCCTCTCTGAAGTTAGAATACTAGAATAATGTCATACAACTTATTGAGGTATTTCCTGGAGTTCTAATGAGAAGCAGTGATTAGTAGTGTTCAACTGGGTCTGTTGTCAGATAGTAATTCACTGAAGACAATGGTGGATGTATCGCTCAACTTCGTGAATTAGTTATTGTTGTGCATTAACACCATTGGATATCCGCTCAGTGGTCTACAGGTTAAGCGTTCGCGCGCCACACCCATAGGTCCTGGGTTTGAATCTCGCGGGGGGGGGGGGGCGGGATTGTGGATGCGCACTGCTGATGAGTCCTACAATGGGACGAAACGGCCGTCCAGTGTTTACAGGTTCTCCATGATGGTCTAGCTTTAGTTAAATCACGATCTCATTTATTATAATTTCTATACTATTCACATAAACCTCTTTCTGATAATAATAATAATAATAATAATGAATTGATTATTATTCTTGTTTAAATTGTAATATCTTTACAGGAGAAAACAAAATTACTAGAATTACAAAATGTTTATAGTCATCGTATTCCAAAAAATCTCATTTTGAGTCATTTATCTAGTTTATCATCTATCTATTCTACTACAAATGAAATGGACAATCATAATGGTCATAAAGAAGAAACATCGAAATCTAATAATCCATTAATTGATCAATATAAATGTAACTCAAATGATAAATATTCACCTAGGCTACCACCAATCACTGTGAATGATAATAATAACAATAAAATCAATAATGATGTATCATTATCATCTCAATATGTCACTATGTGTAAAGGATTAGAACAAATGCCTAGAATAGACAATAACATAGAATCCAACTTAGAAGGATATCCATTGATGATCAATGGAAAACTATCAAATGATAATGAACATCATGTAGATGAGATAGAAGAAAATTCATCGAAAGGAGTTATTGTAAGTTTTTTTTCGTTTGTATCATTTGCTGTTATTATTTGGTTACAGATGCCTTATAAATATTCCTCACATCTGCTGGGATCACCGGGTAAGTAATAGTGAAGTTAGACTCAAGGTATTAAAGAATGACAGTGAATCAGTTGATGAAGTTATGAATCTTCATCGGCTGAGATGGTTGGGTCACATGTTACGTATGCCTAAACACCGACCACCATAAAGCATAATGCTGTCCGACGTTGGGGATGATTGGCAGAAAGTTAAGGGAGGCCAAATCAAAACGTGACATCAGTCAATGAAGTCTCTAACCTATAGTCTGAGCCATGTTGGGAAATGCAGACTATTTGGTTGGGGTCCACGTGACTATCGTAACCAATGGTTGGAGACTGTTGGTGACATGGCTCAGAATCCATCACAATGGCGTCGGTGTATACACTCTCTGTCTTCCCTTAAACTAAGAGATTAAAATCGCTTCATATCGTTCTTTCTACCAACTCATTCTTTCTTCCTGTACTATACCCTTATTGCAATCTTTCTTTTACATATTACCACCACTGAATTAACTGCTTCTATGAATTCGGTGTTCATCTTGTTATGCTAATGCGGTATGGCAACTTAAACCGATGCATATATGTGCCTGGTCTTACGTTGTAGCTGACTGATTGACTGACTGTTGTTATTATTATTATAGAATGTTTACGAATATATCAGCCAGTTTTTTGCTCACTTTACTTACTGATTTTAATGAACACAGTAATTAAGATATTAAGAAGCTGTTTAATTAAGTTCATAAACGAAGTAATAAAGTATCAGTTAGTTCACAGTTATATAATATACTCTTGTGGGCGAGGGTAATTGTACATTGGTTTTCAGGAGAACTAGACACCATCCAAACATTCACGTGACAACCCAAACAGTAAAGCTCAATCCTGTTTAACGAGAGAGTCAAACACCACCCAGGCTTAAATTTTATAAACCGATCAGTACAGCTCAATCCTGCTTCACAGGAGAACCAGACACCTTACGCTACAATTAACGCTACAATCTGTATAGTACAACGCAACCACACAGGTTCCAAGCACTCTTGTGAACCAAGTCAAGGATAAGTACTTGTCTTTAAATTTACTGACAAACGTATTAGTTTTAATGAAATTACTCGTAGTTTGAAGAGGTACAATATTCTCATCTTTAAAACTTTCATCATTTTCTCATTATTTCAAGTCAATGATCATAGAAAATCTTCTCCCCCAAAATAGAGGCCTAATGATTTTCTAAGAGTTTCGCCCTATTTTATTTTATTAAGTAAGCTATTTTTAGTAAGTATTTATTGTGAAAAGTAAACTACTTTGTTGACATTCAAGTGATAACCAGGACCACTGGTTGAAGATATTGTATAATATGACTTTGAATCAATCATAATCACGTAGATGTATTCATTCCTTATTCTATCTCTAGATCTTTAGTTTTAGTATTCTTTCATACATACCCTATATACTTTGTCTTCACAAATCCCATTCTCAATAATCAGTTTTCGTTACTATTCTGTTACTGTACTATTGTTATTTTTACTCATTTAATATTGATTTTTTGGTGACTTTATTCTGTTGTATTCATGTGGTATGGCAATGTTCAGTTAGTTATTCAGCTACATCGTAGGACCAGGCACATATATGCATCGGTCCAGCAATATTTCTAAGGCACCTGTGGTCAAATACTAGTAGCTTACGGGTGTCTTCTACTATAAATGGCCATGTTTCGCTGCCGTAAATTAAAACAGAATGGACTGCCTCGCAGTATACTCGTCCTTTTATTGATAGACGGATATCTCGTCTTCGCCATAGGTGACGTAAGTTGGCAAAAGTCAAACGAGCTTTTCGAATCCGTGCTGAGATTTCGTCAGACACCAACCCATTAGAGCTGATCAAACTTCCCAGATAAGTGAAGTTGTCAACGCCTTCGACTACTTCACTTCCTATCCTTAGTTCAGGTGTTGACGCAGACCAGTCCTGAAGCAGCAGCTTGCAGTTAGAGTGAGAGAAACGCATTCCAAACATTCTGGCATTGTTGCTCAGTGCTACCAGAAGACTCTGCATTTTGTCAGCGTCTTCACCAAACAGGACTATGTCATCTGCGTATTCTAAGTCGATAAGTGGACCTCCTGGATGGAGATCAATACCCGAGAACTCAGTCGACGAGAAAGTTATTTCCATCAGTAGATCTATGATGAAGTTAAACAAAAATGGGGAAAGTGGACAGCCTTGACGGACACCACTTGAGGTTGCAAAAGTAGATGACAGTTCGCCATAAGCTCTGACTCGACTAGTAGTGTTCGAGTAAAGAGCCTTCACAAGGTTTATGTACTTCTGGGGTACACCTTTCAATGACAGACACTGCCACAGAATCTCGCGGTCTACAGAGTCAAATGCTGCTTTTAAGTAAAGAAAAACTATAATTGTCGGATGCCAATAAGTATGTCTGTGTTCTAGAACCTGACGAATGGTGAGTATGTGGTCGATGCAGCCACGACCAGGTCTGAAGCCAGCTTGGTTCTCTCATGTTTGCAGTTCACAAGTCTTAGTTAGGCGTCTGATAATTATCGAGGCTAGTATTTTAGATACTATATTTGTTAAACTAATCCCTCTGTGGTTGTCACAGGATGATTTTGACCTTTTTTTATATATTGGGACGATAAGTGATTGTGACCAGTCAGATGGGATAACGTCTAACTCCCAGATCTTAGCTAAAATATTAGTCAACCTAATCGCTAAAATTGGACCACCATCCTTAAAGACTTCTGGAGCCAATCCATCTGGACCAGCTGCGCTTCCTCGTTTCAGATTAACTATAGCCTTTTGAACTTCTGCCTGAGTTGAGGGAACTACTTCAATGTTCCATTCACACTGTCTGGGAATGAAGGGTAGTTGTAGAGTAGCTGAAGGCCAGCTGAACTGTTCTCCGAAATATTCCGCCCATCGTTCTAAACGTCTGGACTGGGAGCAGATGAGAGTATCGTCTTTTTCCGATATAATCTCACTTACACTTGACTTATTAGTTCCAGTTTCTTTTATTAGTTTATAAAGCTGTCTTGTGTTCCCTATAGTCGCCGCCTTTTCCATCTCTTTTGCTTTCGTTGCCCACCACTGCTCACGGTCGTTCCTTAGACTTTTGCTTAACCTAGATCTGATTTGTTGCGCTCTTCATCGTGTTCAGAGCCTGATGGGATGAGTTTACGAGAACCTGTCAGTGCAATAGACCTAAAGGAAATCCACTGGTTCTTTGTAACCCTGTGGTTTAAATCACTGATAGATGTCACTGCTGTTTCTACAGCAGTTTGTATAGCTTTCCAAGCAACATCTGGGTCAGCCTCGTTTTCAGAACTACCTAAGTGTGACCTCAGTTGTTCCTGGAACCTACTTTTGGTTTTCTCGTTACTCAATTCAGTTCTAATTGGTCTTTTTAATGTGGCTTTTTTGCGTCTAATGAGGCGCAAGCAGATGTGTACCCGTATTAGGGCGTGGTCGGAGTCCCAGCAGGTACTCCAGAATAGGTGACAATCTTCTACCGACCCTCTCCAACGATGACTGATGGCAATATGGTCTATTTGAGTCCATCGTTGGTTTGGTGTAGGGGGTCGCCATGTTAGACGATGTTTTTCCTTATGCTTAAAATTTTTGTTTGCTAAAAACAAACGATTGTCTGAGCATAGTTGCAGCAGACGATCACCATTATCTGTTCGTTGTGCCGGAATACTAAAATACCCACCTAAATGCCTTTCTGTTTGGTTTAAACTACCTATCTGGGCATTAAAGTCACCTGCTACGAGTACTATGTCTGGACGTTTAGCTTTCTGAAGAAGTTCAGATAGCTTTCTGTAAAATTCATCTTTCATTTCATCTGAGCTGCAGTCGGTGGGAGCTTAGGCAGAAACGACAAAAAGGCAACGACGTGTGTCCCTATCCTTCCGAGTTCTTAAGGAGCCGTTTAGCCGAACAGCACAACTCTAACAGTACTTGTTCCGCCCTGATGCTTAGTGCTATCCCTACTCCTGCCAGTTCACAAGAGCTGGCCGTCAGATCACCAGATACACGTAGGGTGTATCTCGTTGGCTCTCCCTTTTGCCTAGGTGAAGTCAAGTGAATGACCACACTGGGGTCCTGTATGCGTGTTTCACAGACACAGCATACATCAATGGTACGAGATTCTAGCGTTCTAGACAAGGAAGCCTGTTGACAGATTTGACATAGGGTGCGTACGTTGAAGGCTCCAATGTGTAGTTTGGAGCGAGGTTTCAGTAGACCTGGGACAGTGTTTTGAGCACTAGAATCGTTGGCTATGGTGACACTTGAGGGGGAAGCCGAAAAAGGAAGTTTAGAGGTGAAAGTCGATGTAGGAGGTATAATAGGAATTGAAGAGGAAGGTTGATTATGAATACAGTGGTATTTATTGCTATTAGAAGTATGAGGGTGATTATCACTTCCCGGTTTCCCACACCGTGGAAGAGTTGTTCTGAAGGTACCTGAAAAGGAAATTGGGTTAGAGGTGGGCTTAGTGACCTGAGAGCGGAACTGCAGTGCCGAAGGGACAACTGCTTGAGGTCTGTCACACACGATCTTTTTATGGGTAATTTTTGTGTTAGCTCCGTACTTGTTGAGACCTTACCGCCGGAGACGGATATCTGTGGGATAAGGCGAGGTGTGCATTTTTACAGTCGACCTTTTCTAACCCCATCCCTCCTTGTGAGAAGGCAGCATCGCTGTCATGCGGGTTGTCTGAAGGAAACATCTTACTTCTACCACACCTCTGTACAGTCAGCAGTACAACTTCGCCTTCGGACCTTAGGTTTGTTGCTTTTAGTCTTACCGCTCTTCGACCGACCTGTCTGGCATGTTAGGACCTTGAGGAACGGTTGTTCCATCCAGTATAGCTCGATTGCTTCATCACGGTGGGCAAGCCCAACCACCACCAGTCGGGATACCTCTTTAGCACAATAAGGTGAACACCGAATTCATAGAAGCAGTTAATTCAGTGGTGGTAATATGTAAAAGAAAGATTGCAATAAGGGTATAGTACAGGAAGAAAGAATGAGTTGGTAGAAAGAACGATATGAAGCGATTTTAATCTCTTAGTTTAAGGGAAGACAGAGAGTGTATACACCGACGCCATTGTGATGGATTCTGAGCCATGTCACCAACAGTCTCCAACCATTGGTTACGATAGTCACGTGGACCCCAACCAAATAGTCTGCATTTCCCAACATGGCTCAGACTATAGGTTAGAGACTTATTGACTGATGTCACGTTTTGGTTTGGCCGCTCCTAGCTTTCTTCCAACCATCTCAAACACCGGTTAGCATTGTGCGTCGTGGTAATCTGTGTTCAGGAATACGTATCACATGACCGAACTATCTCAGTCGATGAAGATTCACAACTTCATTAACTGATTTACCATCATTCCCTAATACCATGTGTTGGACCTCACTATTACTTACCGGGTGATCCATGCATCTGTGAGAAATATTTCTAGGGCATCTGTGGTCAAATACTAGTAGCTTACGAATATCTTCTACTCCTAATGGCCATGTTTTGCTGCCGTAAATTAAAACAGAATGGACTGCCTCGCAGTATACTCGTCCTTTTATTGATAGACGGATATCTCGGCTTTGCATGGTTTTGTCTGGCTCTACATTCAGTAAAGACTGTAATTCTACTTTAATAAACTATTGAGTCGGCTTTTGAGAAATATAACGGAGCTTCCAGAGGCCCTAAAGGAGTCGGAGAGTTTTCACTCAATCAGAACGTGATGGAGTTTTCTAGAATAGTAACGTGGCATTCTACTATTAAAGAGCAGCATAGTATGTCCTTACGGATTGGCTGAATTATAATGTTAATTTCAGAAATGCTAATATTTATAAATACTCGTGATTTCCTATACATTTCGATTCTTACCAAATAAATGGCTTCTCCAGCTCCTTTTTTCTGTCTTCTGATTTACGACAGTGAAGTTCCAACGTTTGAGTGTCGTAGTGGTAAATCGTATTCTTCGTTAATCAAGTACCGAACTTAACATAAACAGAATATTCTGGTTACCTATTGCATTTTAATTTACATTTCTTTGTTAAATTGTTTCTCTACATTTTTTAGGGGAATCATCAATCAAGTAAGTCCGTCATTTATTCTCGTATTCAATTTAACTTTTATGAGTTAGCTTGATCATATGTTAACATCTAATGGAAACCAATAGAAAAATGATTCAAATCATGAACTGATTTCAATTAGACAACTAATAAGAATCATAAAGAACTAAATAACCATGTTGTCTTATTAGAGTACACTTCTTGTTCCAACTATTTAAACAAGCATGGAATCCAGTGCTAAGAATTCTACTTGATCGATAGCATTCAATCTGCACTAAGAACGACTTGACACACATGACATTGATCACCAGCTAGTGATCAATCAATTGTGAATACATCTCAGATCTATAGGAGGTCGGTCGCGGCCCAGACAGCTCAGTGGTAACGTCTCTGATTGTGAAGCTGTGTGACACAGGATCGAATCCGTCAAAGAGCACTGGTTCCCTCAAGATTACAGGCACATCTTGCTGACGAGTTCCAAATAGCACGAAAACCGGGTCCAGAGTTTCCTGCTGACCACCTTCAATCACCGTCTTATCTCAACGTAGTGCACGCAATGTCGAGTCACTTAGACTAGTGGCCTCGTTGCAACCTGGTGGATAGCATTTGATCTGCACTAAGAAGGACCTGACACACATTGATCACTACTCAGTATTGAATCAATTATGAGAATTCAATCTTTAGACCATCTAGTCAAAAGTTTATGGTTCATATTTCCAAAAATATAGTCAATCTGCTATGTAGAGTGACGACCATTAAGAGGGACCGGTGCAACTTGTCCGAAGCTTGCCATGGTTGAACCCCACCAGTTATACGGGCTTCAACTTGAACTTTAGGGTCTTTCTGTTAAAGTTATTCAATAGTGAGTACATATGCTAAAAAATAAATACACACGAAAACATAATGATCCTATTACGAAGAGCCAGTTTTATCAGAACACAATGACAGCATTCTTCTAATAAGCTGTTCATTAGGATTTTAATGACATCCAATCTATCATCAATAAAAATGAAGAGAATACTATACTATGTGTAATGGAATATTCATTAGAGAGGGAAATAAACAAAGTCGATTTTGTTCAACGGGTTACAATAAGCATGTGGTAAGAGTGGATATTTACAATCAATTACTGAAGGACGTTTGTATTTTCCGAATCAATAAAAATTGCAGAGTTCTACATAAAATATAGGAGATTAACTGACTCACTTAGTGAGTGATATAGTTGACATTGATGTGAATCCTTCCATAATGATGCTAGAAATATTAAAGTGTACAATGTTGTACTCTGCAATTTGATAGCTTTTTCATTAAATGACGAGGAGTTCATATTAGAAACGTAAATAAAAACCTGCTCTTCGAACTTAATTCAATTATTGTGGCCTCGCCAGTCAGTCAGTCAGTAACAACGTGGAACGTGCATACATCAGTTCAAGTCGCCATACCACATTAACACACAGATACAATTGTCGATTCAAATTCCATAGTAGTAGTGGTAGTAAAAGTATAATAAGTAATCGGAAACATTAGGGTTCGAAGATGTTATTCAAGGAGTATAATCCAGCGAAATAAATTTGGAAAGAGAAGAAAATGAAGGAATATGAAGAATCCTGAAGATTAGAATTTGGGAGAATACAAAGAGTGGATGCACCTGTACCATTGCGAACGACCTTTAGCCATTTCATTCAAGGTCCCTATCTATCGGTTGCTATCGTCTTGCCGATCCAAATCAGATAGTCTACACCTACCAAGATGGCTCAGTTTACTTGTCAGTGACTTCATAGATTTGTGCCATGTTTTGATCTGGCCGCTTCTAGCTTATGGCCTCGTATGCCACTACTATTTAGCCATATTGTATGATTGTGTATAATTTGTTACATCAACATATCAACTACTCTCATAAATTATAACACTCCTTTGTAGTATCACCAGATTCCAAAAAATCTATGGAGAATATTTGTAGTTTAGATGGAGTTTTGTCCTCTGAACTGGATGGTTTGTTCGTAAAGCTTTCATCGTTCTTCTGAACGACATCATCAGCACGAATGTCAGGTAGAAGACTTCTACTTCATCTCCTACAAATCATCGTTGTTACTCTTGTATTTTAACAATCAACACAACTTGCATATAAATTTTATAGACTAACAAACATAAAAAAATTTATAGTTTACAAAGACTCTAATCAAAGAACAATATTTCTTGAACAGTTGAATTCATGTAGTCAATTGAAGCTAAAACACCATGGGAAACCTGGAAGCATTGGATGGTTGTTTCGTCCCAGCATGGAACTCCTCAACAGTGCTCCCCCACGATCTCGCTTTGCGAGATTCGAACCTAGGACCTATCTAGCTCCAAATGACTTATGAATTCAACTATTAAGTTACTATAATATCTACATAAAACCCTACCCGATTATAACAATACATCTATAGAAATAAATTCTTTTTGAATATTTAATTAACTAATCATGACTATATGTGTGTTATTAGATCTCTTAAATGAATTTCTATTTCAGATGATTTCAATCTTCAAAACAATAAAGAAATGTATGTTGTTCATATCGTTGTTTTATAAATTCGTTTGAAAAATCCTAATTGTATCAAAACAAAATATTCATACTGTACCGTAGAATCTTGTAGAACTTCATGGTGAACCTTCTAAATGCCCTGGTACGACTGAAAGTGAGGAGAGTCACCTCTCGCTGTCGAAATCATCTCACATAGCCACGTGCATACAACCACTGTTAGGGAAGTTCTACTCATTGCCTTCTCGTGGCGGGGTTGTTGTTTAAGATATTGAGAAGATGAAAAGCGAATGTTCAACACTTTAACTGGGTTAATGTATTTGAATGTGGCCCCCCTAAGAAAAACACCTGCTTCAGTTTGGGCACCTGGGCAGTATGTTTATATAAATAAATAAATAATAGATAACTCAAATTCTAAGTTAATGATCAATAGAAATCGTCAGTTTTTTGCTGACTTGTTACTAGATGGTCCTTTGAATATTTTGTGAAAATTTGTGACTTGAGAAGTCTATCATTGTCATGAATGAAAACAACTATCATTATTCATGTATAATACTGGCTGATAATTTATTTGTCTTATTGTTAGGAACATTAAGCGTGCACTTTATAGTTCCGTGTTCGATCCTCAATATTGTCTTAAGAAGGGTTCTATACTATGACAAAGTAGCTGTATCCACCTTTCATTACTAGCCAAAGTGAAATAACCACCATCTTATCTTAACTTAGTGAACGCAATGTTGAGTCACCTAGACTAGTGGCCACATTGTAACCTGGACGCTAAAGTGACCTTGACAGTATCTACCTACTTACTAGGGCTAAATGAAAGTTATAAAGCAGTTTGAAGTATAAGGATTAGGATTTACAGTTGATGGTTTTCATCATGAACTGACATCAGCTATAAACCCAAAACTCTATTTATCCAAATGGATAAATGAATTTCGCGCCAAAATCCAAAACCTATTATCTTCTACTTGATTGGTTTGTCCATATAAATTATAGTCTCGCGATTTATCATAGAAACAATTATTGGTGAACAAATAACTATAGCTGAACAGATTGGTAACTGTCATCAATCTTAATCTGAATATCTTCAATAATTAGTAAAAAAACAATTAAAACTACGTTTAGCTGAATAATCCAACGGGTAGAATAACTTAATAAGTAAAATCAATATTATTATCAGAATAGGTCTTGTGGAGATTTTTAGAAATTTCGCTGATTGAAATCATGAGTCAATTGAAGCTACTTTCAAGGCCATATTTATTTATTTCAACACATAAATATTGATACAAGAGGGCACCAAATATATATGCGCCACACCATATTTGTGTGTGGGGGCTGTGACGCTGCCCAGGTGCCCAGATCGAAGCAGGTGGTTTTCTTAGGGGGCCACTCCCCAAGCCTTCGGCCTAAAGGTCTGACCCACATGGCAGTGGAGCATCATGAGGAGATGCACTCCCGTGGTAGCCGGTGACCAACGATTGGTTCATACGCCATTTTTTCCTTCAGGATACTGGAGCCCATGTGCACCATTGGTTTGGGATCCGGTCAAAGTGCAGGACATTCGCTTTTCGTCCTCTCATTTTCGTAAATGACTTCCAAGGGATGGAAACATCTTGATAAATTTTTCATTTTGATATTACATGATCGACGATAGTCTGTAGAAGGAACTCGACTTACGTTTATACTAATTAGTATGCATAATCAAGGGATATCTAATGTCATGTCGACTTAGTGAATCCAAACAAAATCTATCTCAATTCAGGTTTTAGTAGAATTTGATTAACATTTAGTCAATTAACCTTAATGGATACTTGATCAATAGGATTAAGTTCACAACTTTGGGCTAGTTTGTTCAATGATCAATCAGTTAAGTCATCATGAAATGATTTTCAATCATTTGTTTTTTTACTTAATTACGTTACGTTGAGACTATAATCGATGGGCGACCTTTGAGTGACGCTAGACTAACTTTGAGAGTGTCCACTTAATAACCAGAACCAAATGACGATTATAAACCGGTGTGAGGAATTACAATTATGATTTACATTTGGTGGTTTAGGGTTGAGAATTGATAGGAGGGTTGATGAGGATGGTAACAAATTTAAATCAATAATCATTCACCTCGTTAATAAAACAATTAATAAGTGTCGAATAGTAACGTCATGGTGACAAACTATAGTTATCCTTCATTGCACAACTTCAAATATTGACTTCTAAAAATGATAGAAATAATGATTCTTCCAATCTTATTGTTATTACAATTGCTCACCGGTTTCCTTCAATTTAATCTTCTACTGACTGACATTTCACTTTCGACTGTTTCTACAAACTACTTATATATCTGTCAGTATAAGTAGTATGCACCACAATATGACTTGTTACATTGTTGTATAGTCCAATTTACAATTTTAGAAACATTGATCATATGTATTGTTGCATATTTCAATTATATGACCTAACAACACTTCATCATTTCTGTTTCTACTTAACTAATTTCACTTTCTAATGAAACTATTATCAAACTCACTTTAATCAAATTTAAACTCTATTTTAAAACTACTGAACAAGAACTCTAGCTTTTAACTTGAATTAATGATGAATAAGGTGTAAGATAATATTTTAATGAGATATCATATGAACCAGTCAATACTTTTATTAAGACTTCGGTACGCGAGAACTCATGAGAGTTCCTTTTGTAACTATATGTAAATCGCATCTGGGTAAGTAACAGTGAGATTAGACGAAGGGTATTCAGAAATTATAGTAAGTCAGTTGATGAAGTTGTGAATCTTCATCGACTGAGGTGGTTCGGTCACGTGTTACGTATGCCTGAATACCGAATACCACGATAACTGACCTGTTTCTAGCATATATATATATATATATATATATATATATATATATATATATATATATACATAGTTATTATTTTAATCCAGTGATTTACACTCATGTATGTCAATTGTTTTCACACTATCTCCATGCAAAAAATTCTATCACAATTTTGGTTCGTAAGCAGCTGACGAGAACCCTCGAAATATTATGAATTCATACTATTCTGCATCAATGTTTGTTCCTGCTCATTCTTTCTTCCTGTACTATACCCTTATTGTAATCTTTCTTTTATATATTACCACCACTGAATTAACTGCTTCTGTGAATTCGGTGTTCATCTTGTTTTGCTAATGAAGCGTGGCATCCTGAACCGATGAACATAGTGTACCTGGTTCTACGTTGTAGCTGACTGACTGACAAGTATATCGATCTTGGTGTTGGTAAACACCTTATTTATTGCCAATTTTAGTTAGTTGTAACTGATTTTATAGTAGCTCGACTGTAGCTTCTACCTTGACGTGGTGGCCGGGCTTGCCTATCGTGATGACCCAACCGAGTTATATTGGCTGGGACATATGTTCCTTTAGGTTCTGCAACCTCAGGTAGATCGACGGGAGAACGGTAAGACAAAAAGCAGCAACTCAAGGTCTGAGGGAAGTCGTACTGCCTGACTGTACATAGGTGTGTCACCAGTAAAGTGTTTCCCTTGGACAACCAACACCTGCAGCGATACTGCCTTCTCACAAGGAAGGAAGGGGCTAGAAAAGGTTAACCCTAAAAGTATCACACCTTACCTTACCTCACGGATTTCCGTCTCCGGCGGCAAGGCCCTTTGAAGGACGGAGCTGACACATTAAAAAGCCACGAAAGCCCCACGAAAAAACCGCGCGCAATCGGCCTCAAGCAGTTGTCCCTTGGGCTCTGTGGTCACGCTCCCGGGTCGTTAAGACCAACACTAATCCGACTTCATTTCCAGATTTCTCAAGAAATACCTTTTGTCGTGACTTTAAACCTGGATCGATTTATACCCCGTGCCAATTGTTGTGTCCTTGACTGAAAGATTAGAGAGCAGTGTATTGTAGATCGGATCACTGACACGTAAAACACGCAATAACGGCCTAGAGTCCTAATTAGTCCTGCTTCACTGTCTAACCCAGCCAGTTGAGTCCAGAACACAAGTCACAGCCTCTGAGATATGAATCATTATATTTCAGACATACTCTATTTATATACCACCCAACCAGACCACATCGTACCATAAAATAGAAAACAACATTTGACAAGTGAAATAAATATCGACCAATAGGAAATGTCCATTTAACGTCCAGGGACACCATTAGACTTAACACGATAATTATTGGTATATTCCTCCGCATCCCTAACACCTCCCTTTTTCGAAGATCCGGAGTTGATATCCGGATTTTAAAATTCTCCGCGTCCGTCCTCCACCGCGAAATAGTGTTGGGTTCTCATATCCCCAAGTTACAATTAATTTGACTTTATTTAAAACATAATTGTCACATTGAACAGAGAGGTGGGGATAACATCGCTTGATATGAGGTCATCAACGTTTGATTCTTCAGGAACATTGCCATGGGATTCCTTGAAACCTCATTTGTAGATAGTTGATCACTGGGATAATCAACATCTATCAAAATTGTATTAAATTTCTGATCATCAATTGATGCATCTAACACGTTTGCTGGTACAAGAGGATCTAGATAATAAGATTCATCAGAATCTCCTGTTGTTGACTGATGAGGACCGTTTGGAGCAGCCAGACTCAGTATACTGCACGATTTGTTTCCTGTTTCCTTGTGAGAGGATACTGTAATTAATTTATGGGCATTTAATAAGAGATCTTCCTGTGAGCTGAGTACATCACTGTCTGTACACGTTTCAGGAACAGTGGGATTTGAACACACGACAGGGAATGTTTCGGAATTTGACATTTCTGGGCAACTGGGCGGATCATGAATGACTTTCTCGTTTACATCACTGGTCGTCCGGGATTCACAGAGGCTTTTATAAACAGCTTCATATATTCTGCAGTTGTTTTCCAGCTCAGTCTGCAGATGAGAAATGAATTTAGCAACTTCTGTTGCACCTCCGAAACATGGAAGATTGACCAACCGTGTGCGTAAATTTTCTAAGAAATTTAACTGGCTATTTTTGAAACACTGC